AAAACTGCCACAGCAACATAACTCAACCCCATCCTTGAGTGTCTGCACTATCTTACATAACGATGCCTCACCCGCCACCTCACAGCTAGAGAGCTTGTTCAAAATCCTTAAGAGGCGCCTCTTCCTTCTTTCAAATTGTCAGATTTAGAAAAGGATTGCCTGGCTTGACCAGAGCACTTTACAACCACTGAGTCAAAATCAGACCATTGATTTCTTGATGCAAGGTTTGAAGAAAGGGCAGGCTGGAAAAAGGGTCTGAACAAAGCAGCAGACTGCTGGCCTGGTTTAGAGCCTGACAGCATGTCAGACCTCTACGTCTCCTCTATTGGAGATGCCGTGTCCCATGATCTTCTCTGTTTATATTTAACCAGGAAATCGTGATGCTTGTGCAGCCACAGAGTGTATTTTTTTCAGTCTAAAAAAGGTTATGATGAGCTACAGCCCAGAGACTGGGGTCAATACAGCAGGTTTGGTTGTTTTTATCTTCTCTGTCTGTCTGAGAGGCTGCAGCTCCTCTGGTTGGATGAGTCACTCACCAGGCTGCAGCAGGAACCAGTGCTGTCCTACTGCCACCTTGTGGTTATTGCAATTGAGAAGTTATGCACAGTACAAATCTGCGTTCTCTTACTTCTCATACAGTGTTCAAAGCTAGGAGGACAGTGAGCAGTTTCCACTGACAACTGAATATTTTGATTGAATGCTTTTTTTCCACTACATAGCACCGAGTCCAGATTGATATTAGTGTTTAAAAATAACCTTACATTTGAGAATCACTTTTGTGTCTGACACATGTCAATCAAGCTGGTCTGAATGTTCAAATAAACGCTTTGTGGCCAAAAGTATTTGGACGTACGGTTATCTGGTTGGCCCAGTTTCCTCTCAGCAAACAGCTTCCTGGTTTGAATCGTCTGTTTGCATGACAGTTTGTATTTTCTCACTCTGAGTCCACGGTTTTTCTCCAAGTACCCAGGTATGCTCCCACAGTCCAACAACATGCTTATTATTTTCACTGGTGACTTTAAAGTACGTGTGATTGCGACTGTGGCTGATTGTTTGTCAGCCCTGTAACCGACTGGAGACCTGTGACGCCTGTGATCTATGACTCAGAATGAAGTTAAGATAATGGATGAAAGGAAGTTTGTTCAGGAGCTGTTTCACAGGGTTTTTGCTTTGGGACTTAAACCACAGAGGGATAGTCTGGAAACTGCTGTGCTTACAATTTTGTACCTGCAGTTTGGATAAAGGTCTTTCCTGCTCCAACATGTTGATGCCCCCTGCACACAGCGAGGACCATGAAAATTTGATTTTCAGAAACAACTTTACTTCTCTGCACAGAGCCCTGACCGCCTTAACCCACACGCAACACCTTCGAGATGAAGCAGAACGCCCACTGTGAGTCCGGCTTTACCACCCACCATACCAGCCTGACCTCACGGATACTTGTGTGGCTGAACAGGAGCAAATTCTCCGCAGCCAGGTTACTAACCTCGTGGAAGGCTGTGAAAAGTGAAGTAATTTTCATGGCTTACAGCCTTTCTTTCACATAAGTGCCGGCTGTTAAAACACAATGTATAGACTTATGGGCACAGATCACACACACCTACACGTGATAATGGTAGTACGCTAAGATCTAGTGTGTGGTGTCTGCTTCTTATACCTGTACTTTTAGACCCGACAGCAGAAACTGAGATTTCAGCAGGACAAATACAAACAGAGAGCAAGAAGAAGAAAACAAATGAGAGACTGTATGTGTGTGTGTGTACAAGAGCTATTCTCAATTCAGAGGCTGTGACATCTAACTGTCAGTGAAGCCTAGAAGTGCTGACAGGTAGTATACACACACACACACACACACTCTCTCTCTCTCTCTCTCTCTCTCTCTCTCTCTCTCTCTCTCTCTCTCTCTCTCTCTCTCTCTCTCTCTCTCTCTCTCTCTCCCTGACTCTGTTGTAATTGAAAGCTGTCACTTTGAGATTTTCTCCTCCACAGGGATTTGCACTGGTTGGCTGCTGCTCCAGGACTTCACTCATCTCTTCTCTTTGATATTACTCCTCACTCATTGATTACAGTGCCGTCTCCTCTCTCAACCCCCTCTGTAACTGTACAACATTACACACCGACTCCCTCTCGTCACCTCTTGCACACGCACATAGACTTGGTAATAAATAACCTACTCGTGCGGTTTTGGCCGTGGTTGATTCCTGAGATCTTACGTCTTGAAAACGACCACGGTTAAGGGGACGCTGACCAGAAAAGTTTATGTTTGTCACCTCTTAAGTCTTGCTTTCCTCTCGTGTCTAAATTCTCTCCACTTTTGGTCCATTTCCTCTATCGACAGTGTACTTCATTCATTATGGATTAGGCCCTAAATTAGGTTAGCACATATTGAATCATTCATGTGTGCTCACTTCTTTGACTGGCCTGCTGAATATTTAATTGAAAGTTTTGGAGATGCTAATTTGTCCTATGATCTACATCAGCATCTAAGAGCTGCAGAGTTAAACTGATGCCTGTTTTTAAGTTCTTTAAGTTTGATGCAAAATTTGTTGAATAAGGGATAATCATATAAATATATATATATATTTAAAGCACACTCTACCAAAGACCTGTGTCCGCTCACCCACACACAAACACACACCAGCTGCTTTTCCCCCCATATCAACATGTCAGGTGTGTGATACAAGAGTAGTCCTAACAGCTATGACACTGACATTAAAAAAATGCTTTTGCTTTAATTTGATTTGATTTATATGCTATAACTGGAACTCATCTAGAAAGTACCATACCTTATCTCAGAGTTAAACCTGCAGCTTATTCAACAACTGGCAGGTCCTGTGATGCATAGTATCAACACATTGGCTGTGTATTGAATAGGTCTTTCAGATTGCTCTAAAGGGTCTGAAAATCATATCCTCCGTCAGATTTGATACAGCTTATACAGTGGATAGACTTTTTTTTTTCTGTGGAAGTTGTGGCAGTTTTGCTTTTCCAGTACTGGAGTTTTTTTTATGTGTATTCAAATGTGTTTTTCTTTCACTAGCTTGAGATAGAAGTTGTGAGGAGTGAGTGCAGACACTTGCATGCTCAGTACAAATAAGCACAAACAAACATACACCGTCATTTGAATGTAGTGAATTGCTTATTCACAGTCAAACAACTGTGATCAAAGCACACCTACACAGGCTGAGTTTCAGAAAATCAAATGTACCACTGAAACATTTTGTTGAGGATTTGGCGCTGAACTTTAAGGGGCTTTGCTGTGACAGCTTCCCAGACATTATAGTCGCCTGACTCAGACAAACCATAAAGCAATGGTTTGATGCACCTCACCTCCCAAAGCCATTAAATTCACAAAGAAAACACTCTTACATTATGTGCAGCCAATCCTGCTAAAAATGAGCGCTGTACGATGATTCCTTATGTTAATATCTAAGGAGCTTTTGGACTGAAACAAGTTCCTGCATAATTCTTGAGTGTGTTTAATCCTGTAGCAATTAATCCATGCATGAAAGCTTATACATGTGCAGGAATTGAGAAACTAATTTGTGAAAAAAAAAAGCTCTCTATTCCCCTCTTACAGTTTCAGCTGAACGCTGTGGTTCAGCTCTAATCTGTATCTTACACACTGCTGCTCCGAGGTGCTAAGCTCTCTATTTGCTGTGGTGACTTGGTTAAACTGCAGCCTTATCTCGCCACTTCTCTCACCTGATTACCTGGTGTTGCCTACCTTCTTCAGTCAGAAAGGTCCACCTTTAGTTTAAAGAAATTATGTATTCATTTACATAACAATGTCTGCAGTTGCAGTCTCCCATATCTGCCTGTTTTTTGCCCTTTCTTTGCTACCTGGAAATGACATCAACCTCTTCATATGACATGATGAGCCTCGTTTGACTTATACCGCCCTCTCCAGTGTTTTTGTCACTGAAATATTGAAAAAACAAAGGGCAAACTTTGCAAAATATCAACCGCAGCCCCAGTCAAAAAAGTGGACATCAGATTTTTATCCTCTTTTCCAGTTTTGCTTCAGAATTTTACAGATCTAAAGGAAACAGGTTTCTCTTGTAAAGCTGTCTAGAAGTAAACTTCAGTAGACATTGTAGCACTTTTTTTCTTTTCTTTTTTAAGAATAACTAGGCTAGTTATAAAACTTGTAAAACTTACATGAAGTCTAATTTAACCACGAGTAGTCAATGAGAATAAAGCCAGATGTACAGTAGCATATAGGGGAGAGTGGGGTAAGATGAGTAATTCCTGCATATTCCGGATCACTACATCAAGACAATCATAGTTTTGTCTCTAACTAGTGTATCTGCATATATTTCAACATGTTGTGCATCCCTGCAAACCAACAGAATGAGTGTAAACAGAACTGTCTTGATAATATAGCATGCCAAAAAAGTGGTTTCCTATGGTCAACTTACCTTCTCTCTCCCTAGTCTCCTGTCATATTAAACAACTTTATCAAAAAGATACAATGAATTTGGACATAAACTAGTGTCACCACATAGTCCTCCAGCCTCTTGTTAATAGTTTATTTGCAGGAAGAGAGGGTCAAGCCTTAACTGTAGCGTGGATGTGTACATTTGGCAGTAGCTTGCTCAAACCGCTAAGAGGCGCCGTTGTGTTGTTTACCCCTACCATAGGTAACCCAGTATTTTATGTGAGTTTGTAGACATTACTTAAAGCATACAATCTGATAACTTCTTTTACTTGATTATATTGGAGGAGTCTAGATGACAGATTCTTGTCACGACTTTCTGTACAATACAAACCCAAGGCTCATGATATTGTATTTCAAATATGTTCTCCTAGTTTTACTCACTAGGAGCATTTTATTCAGCAAGCAGTGTATATTATCATCTTTATTATTTTTGTCCTTTTTTTCCATAATTGGTACAGAAATGCTTTCTACTTATCGCGCTTTTCTGTTATCTACACTGCTTCTGAGCTTTACTTCCGTTACCGTGCGTGATGACGTCTTCCAAGGATTGCGCATCGATGTCAGATAAATCAAACAACAGGAACTGCAGCATGAGAAAAAAAAGATGTATTCTCTGTGAAGTTAGTTAGCTAACGTCAACTTTAACTATTGACAAAAGAACGACGTACGGCGGGTATTAATAAACGAAAACATTTATAACCTGTTCAGTTTACTTCGAAATAACTCCTCCTGAATCGACCGTTGGAAGCAGAAAGAAACAGTCAGGTAATGTTCACTGAGACAACGCTAGCTAAACCACGAGCTAATGCTAAGAAACAAGCTAAGTGTCAGTTTTCTTTTGCTGATATGTGACGAATTCAGAATGTAAATACTAGTACAAATCAACCAGAAACGTGAAACATGTTTGAGAATGTTGTCCTTTTGGAATTACGTCAACATTTTACAACAATGCCAACTAGTATATACAGTTGTAAAGAGGCTGTTTAACTAATGTAGCTGTTTCTCATGTCAGTAAAAAGATGTTTACATCAGAGGCTTTGTCCTCATTGACTCTAACTTGGTGCAGTAGCGCTCATAGTTTTTCTTCATTTGATGTTTTCTTGTCATTCAGTATGTAGACTGCTGTTAACAAGAATCAGGCTCTGATTTGTAGTGGAAGTGTCTTAAATTGTGGTTTCTGTTAAGGCTGGTAGTATTCAGAATCAGAATCAATCCCCGGGGGGAAATTGCTTTTGTTTCAGTACTCCAGTGCAAATATAATAAAAGAGGAGACATATAATAGATAAAATAAAAGATAAAATAAGTAAAAATATAGAGATGATATACAGTGGATATAAAAAGTCTACACACCCCTGTTCAACTGCCAGGTTTTAGTGATGTAAGAAAAACATGTTTAAAAACAAACCGAAACCTTTTAAGGGGAAAAATGAAAAATAGAAAAGTTAAAATAACCTGGTTGCATAAATATGCACACCCTTAAACTAATACTTAGTTGCAGCACCTTTGGCTTTTATTACAGCACTCAGTCTTTTTGGGTAGGAGTCTATCAGCGTGGCACATCTTAACCTTTTTTTTCTCCTGCCAGACAGGATGGATCCAGCTCTACTGAGGGAGCGAGAGCTGTTCAAGAAGAGAGCTCTGTCTACTCCAGCAGTCGAAAAGAGACAGGCAACGTCAGACTCTGGATCACACAAAAAGAAAAAGGCCAAACCTGATAAGGAGAGCTCCTCAGGGTCCAAACACAGCGCAGGTATGTGAAGGATACTTGGATGAAATGATTTAAGGGTTACTGTTACCGTTATTTGACTCTGTCAGTTGCTTGTGAAGGGATGAGACCCCTTATATTGCTGACACTTACTCTTGTTGTTTGACATGATTTTTTACCAGTTGTGTTTGTTTAATTACACAGATAAAGTGTAAACTCTGCATGATTGATAGTCACTTATTTCTAAATAGCAGATTGCTGCTGCGAAGTACAGACTTTTGCTACAGACAGGTCCTCATTTTTGAGGAGTTTGATTAATGTAAGGATTTCAAATCCCTGTATGGCCTTAGTTTCGATCTATGAAATTATTTCAAAAGCAACATTGCACCTGAAATCTCACTGCAAGTGGGTTTCTTCAGCAGAGGAGAGCCCAAGACAAGCCCCGTTCACATCCTTCATTTCCATGTTGTGGTTCCCTTTCATAATATCCAGCCCACTTACATCAATTTCAACGTAGCCTGGCGCTTTTCATGTTAAAACTGTAACCTATGACATAACCTATACATAATCTATACACATAACTGCTCACTGCAGTCCCTCAAAAAGAGAGCACAGTCTAAAGAATAGTGACTTACTTATACACGTCACACAACATCCAGTGTTTTGCAGTAAGATAGATGAACGTAACATCTCAAGCCTTTTTGTTGTTGACGCTCTTCATGGGCTGTGATTTTGTTTCTACTATAATAATGTCAGATATCCAGGCACAGTACTCTTCATTTGATCTCATCATGCTCTCAGGACAAGTGGGCACATCTTAGTTCTGCACTTACTATCTTTGCTAGTCATCTGTAGTTTTCCACACAGCCAGTAATTCTTGTCCTTTTTACAGCACAGTTTGCCAGCTAGACAAGGTTCTACCCACTACCCAGGCACTCACTTTCAATCTTCCCTTCATTCACCTTTTATTTTAACAGAGGAAAGAAAAAACTCTGATGTATTTGCAGTGACAATTTATTAGGCATTTTGTGGTAAGGCATATGAAATCATACATTGTGCTAAGTTTAACATGATAAATTACATCACTGTGCAGCAATCAAGTATCACTTGACTTAATGAGATACAAGATAATGTTGCAGTGCTAAACATGTTGACAACACTGGGATATTGTTTACAACAGAACAGAGGTACACTAGCTTTATCCACACACTGATGTCCAGCTAGGCTTGATCACTTGATTGTTTTTCATCAGAACTGATCAGGGAACCAGGATACTCAAGTCTTTTTTTATTTTCAGTATTTCCAGTCTGCAAAAAAACAAATTTCAGTTTGTGATGGACACTTCTTTGCATGTTGCAGGTCATATGCATGTGGAGTATTTATGGGGCAAGTGTTGATAAAGCGCAAAGATTAGCGCCATAATGTGTACTACTATTTAACAACTAATTGGGTGAGCTGTCTTTCTTACATGACATTTGGCCTCCGAGGTTTGTCCTGTGTGAGTGTGTTGTGGTGGTAAATGTGCAGAGAAACCCAGAACTAGGGCTGGGCGGTAAACCGATTGTTGAATACTTGCCGCCATGATGTTGTGGTGTAAATGTGCAAAAATCGTCCTCCTTAAAGAAATAAAAGCAGCCCACATCCTCTCCATATAACATTCTGTCGCCTCATACATCTCTTGTACCACTGTTGGGGAGTCACAAAAGCTCTTTCATAGGGTAACAGGGTCTTTGTTTTGACATTGTCCAGTTCAGTATCGAACTCCAAATATTTATTTTGTCTGCATCCTCGTTGGCACTATACCACCTCAGTCTGGGATTCTGGCTCCTTACAAATACTAGTCATGAGCTTTCCGCAGCCTCCTGGCCCCTCTTCTTGTAGCTGCTGATGCGTCTTTCCTTTGGCGCAGCAGCCACAGTCCAGCAGCTCGTAAAGCACAGCCAAAGCAGCCAGAGACAGGACAGTGAGGATGAAGAGCAGCAGGATGATGAAGCAGGCCACATTCCAGCTGTCATGGAAAGGGTACACCTCCTGCACCTGCAAAGACACGTGGGAGAGCGGGGCCGCCTCTGGGTGCCAGGGGAGATTACTCGGTTGTATTGTGGTGGTGATGTTGGCCATGTTGTCTGGTTTGAAGCAAGCAAAACAGAGAAGACAGGTATTGCAGTTAATGGCTGTTGCAGTGTTTGGTTCTGGGTTTCTCTGCAGAATAGTGGTGACAGCTATGAGGGTAAAATTAAAGAATGATTGTTTAATACTTGCTGCCATGATGGATGTTTACAAATGAAAGTAGAGAAAGTCTTAAGGCTTTAAAAAAGTAGGACAAAATAAATAGGGGTCTCCCGATACAACTTTTAGACTTCTGATACGATAACAATGTTGTTGCCCTCAATATCAATCAATAAGTTTTTCACTCAGCTGCAAAGTCTTTTTCTGACTTTAATGAAAAATACTGCCACACAGCCGACATCACTCCTACTTCTCGCTACTTTGTTAGTACCTTTGTCCACACTGTTGTTGTGATTTTGTGGGCTCAGCTTGCTGGATCAGGGCGTTGCTAGATCAAGGTGTCGAAACGGAGTCTGGAATGGACTGCTTGTATCAGAGATTTTAGATGCAGGCCGATACAATCCGATATTTTTTTGTTGATATCGGACCAATATCAATATCTTATCGGGACACCCCTAAAAATAAATAATGTTTTCAATCTGTTTGACCAGGCTTTAAGTCCCAGGAATTAGAAATAAATAACATAATAAGCAAAGCAGAGAGATGAATTCTATTAACAGGTCATGTGTCCGGGCTCCATTATCACTTTCATACAGCTAATGTGCTGTTTGGCAAGGCTAATGTATCACTGGAGACAACAGACGTTACACACATTACCTCCCCTCAGCCCATGTGTCCCTCTCTTTTCTGCTCTGTTGTTTGCTGTAATGTAATTATTATGATAGCTCCTCATCATCATCAGCCCTGCTGTAAAAATAAAACTGCTGTGTCAGTTTGTACACAATAGTATACATGATAAGCCCATGTCTTTGGAGTAGATTTTCAATGATGCAAGAAAACTGGTTGTAATGAGAGCGAAAACAAAATCCTACTGAGTCCATCTGCTCAAAACAAAAAGAGTCTGCACAGTGAAATATGGCACTCGCACCTGATTGACAGCTTTTCTGCCGTAAGACCTGAAAAATTTTATAGTTAAAGGGAAAAAAAATTAATCGGTAGTCTATTTGTCTCTTGTCAGCTCATTCACATTCACATACATGCATGTGTTTGAACATGTACTCACTCAAATACACACTATAGGCACTGAGGAAGCTGACCCACATTACTTGAGTGATCTCCGGATGTGAATTGAGGGAGAGGGGCATCGTTAGTGCCTCCCATGTGGGGCTTACCCTGTAAGTGCTCATATTGTGGGGTCACTTTTGTGTGTATGTGTGTTCTCTCCAAGATGCTGAATCTGTAACTAAGCTAAGTGAGAGTGCAACTGTAAAGTGATCAGCCATGTTGAAGTGCCTTTATCTCCTCTCAGAAGACACGTCATCTCAGGACCATATAGTCTGTGATGCAGATTTGCACTAGACTTTATATATGACTGCACTTTGTAGTGATGATAAAATATGTGGGAGGAAACATCAATGATAACTGAATAATATCCTGAAAACTGCATGTGGACAGATATGTTTGAGTTGTCTCCTGAATGAAGTTTTTGTGGTGTGTTTGTTTTTTCAGGAAATATTTGCTTGATATTAATTGAAACGTTTTGCTGCAGTTTTGATTTATCTGCTTATTGAAACGTTACTCTTAAATGTGACTTTGTTTTCACTGCGTTGTAAGCAGAAAATAGTGCCTACAAAAAGGTCACACACACTCACACACACACGTACACAGCTGGTTCTGTGTCAGCTGGTAATTGGGTTAGGAGAGCAGACTGAAGCACATTTGGTCAGTGTGTGTTTTGGGGGTTTTCTTGTGCGCTGACGTAACTCCACTTCTGCTTTCCTTTTCAGCATCCTCTTTACCTAACATCCCTTTACCTACATCATCAACTTCACCAGTTATCATTGCCATGACAACAACCTCTTTTGAGTTCCCTGATGTTACCCTAACACCCCCTCCTCTCTTTTTTGTTAGATCAGTCACACACTCATAAGAACAGATTGGGTCCCTGGCCGCAGCATCTGTTATTTTTCCCTTAAAACGAGCCCCAACCCATCCAGGCTCTTTAAGGTGCTGTAAGAACAAGAATTGGTCCGTGGCTACTCAGCGGCTGCTGCTCATTACACATGCACGCACGCACACACACATACACACATTGTAGACACATTCATACACTACTAATGCCCGTGGCTGGCTCCTCACAGATGTCCATCCCTCATTGATTTGTCCTGAGAGCTGCAGTTTGCACTGAGTCAGGCATCTCAGAGAGGATGCTCATGCAGGCAACACACACATATATATTTTTTTTAAGTCTGATATTTTAAGTACAAGACTAAAGACAATTAGATCCATACAAAACAAAAATAAACCAGCAATTTATTTCTTGTTTTTTTTGTATTCATAGTCCTGCGAGCAGCACCTGAGGAGGTTATGTTGCTGTGCATGGAGATCCCTGTTTACCAGCAGATAGATCCATGTTTGCTAATTCGCATTTTCAGTCTGGCTCTATTTATTTCAGCTGCTGTCCACAGATCTATGCTGAATGTATTTTCACTACATGAAATAGAAATTTTCAATTTTAAGCCTCTCTGATGCAGGAAAATGATCAGCTGCTATTAAAAATACATGATTGACCCCATAAACAGTGGATTACTCATAACAAAAACCTCATCGTCGTAGTTACAGCAGCCCATAGCCTGTGGCTTATTATTACTGTGAGCTTCTATGATCTGTCAAACATGCACTCATTATTATGATGATGCTGTTCTGGAAAACATGCCGACTCACCTGCCTGCTTATAAATTTTAAGAAGATTCACGGCAACAGATGCACTCTCCTCCTTTTTTTTCCGGTGCTCCACCTAATGCTCTGTCTTCCACTCTCTCTCCCCCCTTCGTGTTCCCTCCTCGACCTGTTTTCCTCCACAGCACCCTCTTCCAAGCGCCAGCCGTGCACTCACTCACACCACTCCTTGCAGTGCTTCATGCCTCAGCCGAACGGCAGGGGCTCCTCTTCATCATTGGCTCTTTGCTTTAAGCCCAGCCTCTGCACCATTCGTTCATCGGCCTGTCACAATCCCTCCGTCCGGCCCTCGGTGAAGCTAGCAGGCGCAGCAGAGGCTCCCACCCACACTATGAATCATTTATGAATCAGTGTCTGTTTTCAGCTTTGATTGGCGAGCACAAAGCCCAGACCTCAGACAGTCGCCATGGGAGGAGCAGTAATATTTGATTACCAGCTGCCCACACTTCTAATCATTCTAATCACACAAGTCTCTCAATATTGCAAGTGGCATTTGAAGGCCTTTCTTTTTGGATAAGAGGCAGAAGATTTTTTTTTTGTCAACAAAACAGATTATAAACCAATCTATCCAACAAGTTTGGCTGTGGAGCAAAAGATGATTCAGGTCTTGTTGACCTCCTCTTCCTTTTTGACCTCTACTGATTTGGAAAAATAAATAAATGAATTGGCTTTTGTTTGGTATCAGAGGAAGACACACATATGGCCATTGGACAACCTTTACTGTAAAAAAACAAAAACAAAAATGTAGGGCTGGGACGATATGCTTTTCTCCCAATTCGATTCTTCTCTGATTTCTTTGGATGCCAACTCGATTTAAATTGCGATTCTATGATATTGTCTATTTTCTGCATTTTTAACACCAGTGAAACAGTTGAATGATTATGATTGTCTACAGACTATTTCAGGAACTATATTTCCCCAAAAAACACACATCACATCTAAGTCAGTTTTTAAGATTTATTCTTAAAAAATTGAACATAAAAATCGATTTAAAGATTGTAAAACAATAAAATCACAATACTTATGTGAATTGATTTTTTTCTCCCACCCCCACAAAAAGGTGTGAATTATTGATGTAAACATTGATTTTTTTTTTTTTTGCTAATTATTTAACCCCACCCTGAAGACACCATTTCATATGTTGAAACTAATTAAAAATGTATTGCTTGTGCAGAATTTCGATTATAGACACTTCAAGTCACCTCCATGTCTTGCTGTCGTGTACACCAAGTATGAGTCTTGGTGTTTATTTTGACAGTTTTCATATTTAACAAGCATATTTCTCATGTTAAGAACGGCTTGTTTTAGCAGAGACTAATAGAATGTGGGTTTGGACCAGTCATCTGTTCCACGCCTGCAGCTCGTTCAAACAGCACCTCTTGGAAAATAAAAAAAGGAACCACACTGCATATGCACTTTGCTTCCCCCACATGTCTCCAGTCTATGGCAGTGCTGACATAATTTTTTTTTCTTTTGACCTAGAAGGCTCCTTATGGATTGGCAGCACTTAACTCAGCTGAACTTCTCTCTGTTAATACTCCAGCTAGAGCGTTAAGGTCAACCAATCAGCTGTTCCTGAATGTGCCCAAAACTCGCCTTAAAACCAGGAGCATTTCAGCTTTTTCAGTAGTTTCAGCCGACTGCTTCAAATAAGATCTGTCCCCACTCTTGTATGGTTTTAATTATTGTTGAAGATCTATCCTTTCCTTTCTAAATGAGAATATTATCATCCACACAGATTTTCCCATTTTTATAAATGTATTGCGCGTTGTTGTTTTGTTGTTATTAGGTATGGGCATGATTAATCAATGATCGTTTAATTGACCATTAAGAATTACACTCACCGGCCACTTTATTAGGTATACCTGTCCAACTGCTCGTTAACACTTAATTTCTAATCAGCCAATCACATGGCGGCAACTTAGTGCATTTAGGCATGTAGACATGGTCAAGACAATCTCCTGCAGTTCAAACCGAGCATCAGTATGGGGAAGAAAGGTGATTTGAGTGACTTTGAACGTGGCATGGTTGTTGGTGCCAGAAGGGCTGGTCTGAGTATTTCAGAAACTGCTGATCTACTGGGATTTTCACGCACAACCATCTCTAGGGTTTACAGAGAATGGTCCGAAAAAGAAAAAATATCCAGTGAGCGGCAGTTCTGTGGGCGGAAATGCCTTGTTGATGCCAGAGGTCAGAGGAGAATGGCCAGACTGGTTCGAGCTGATAGAAAGGCAACAGTGACTCAAATAACCACCCGTTACAACCAAGGTAGGCAGAAGAGCATCTCTGAACGCACAGTACGTCGAACTTTGAGGCAGATGGGCTACAGCAGCAGAAGACCACGCCGGGTGCCACTCCTTTCAGCTAAGAACAGGAAACTGAGGCTACAATTTGCACAAGCTCATCGAAATTGGACAATAGAAGATTGGAAAAACGTTGCCTGGTCTGATGAGTCTCGATTTCTGCTGCGACATTCGGATGGTAGGGTCAGAATTTGGCGTCAACAACATGAAAGCATGGATCCATCCTGCCTTGTATCAACGGTTCAGGCTGGTGGTGGTGGTGTCATGGTGTGGGGAATATTTTCTTGGCACTCTTTGGGCCCCTTGGTACCAATTGAGCATCGTTGCAACGCCACAGCCTACCTGAGTATTGTTGCTGACCATGTCCATCCCCTTATGACCACAATGTACCCAACTTCTGATGGCTACTTTCAGCAGGATAATGCGCCATGTCATAAAGCTGGAATCATCTCAGACTGGTTTCTTGAACATGACAATGAGTTCACTGTACTCAAATGGCCTCCACAGTCACCAGATCTCAATCCAATAGAGCATCTTTGGGATGTGGTGGAACGGGAGATTCGCATCATGGATGTGCAGCCGACAAATCTGCGGCAACTGTGTGATGCCATCATGTCAATATGGACCAAGCTCTCTGAGGAATGCTTCCAGCACCTTGTTGAATCTATGCCATGAAGAATTGAGGCAGTTCTGAAGGCAAAAGGAGGTCCAACCCGTTACTAGCATGGTGTACCTAATAAAGTGGCCGGTGAGTGTACGTCGATCATGCAAAATTTCGATCGATCTAACCCTAACCCTCTCTGTCCAGTTACGAGTATTTTCTATGTTACGAGAGATGGGAAACAGCGTCAGGGGGCTTCCATAGAAGTTGAGAAAAAAACACGGAGAAAGCTAGACGAAGTGTTGGTTGGGACCATTTTGAGTTTCCAAGTTTTCTGCCAACACTGCAATGCCGTGTACAAGTACAACACGACAACGACCACAATGATGGAACACTTGAACCACATGCATCCAACTTAGGATAATGAATCCTCCGAGGGTGACCATATCCTGACTTCCCAAAAAGAGGACATGACTTTTTCTCGAGTTTTTCGGTTCGGATTGAGTGTCTTTTATGCGCTTCTAACTCAGTAAGTCCATGTGACACCAAATCAAAACTCTCGTTCAATAAGGAAAAACACATTTTTTTTTGTTGTTGCGTATTTTCGATTAAATCGATCAAGTCACTGTCTTAAAATGCCCATTCCTAGTTGTTATACTTTTGCACTTGAGAGCTGTTGTGAACCATTGTTGTGTTTAAATGTCCTGTATTGATTAAGTTACTTGAATTCAGTAAATGTTTTGTTGTGCTACATAAATCTGTTGATCGAACATTTTTATAAACATAATCTCGTCCCATGATTATACAGCTGCAATATGGTTGTCATGATGTGTTAGTGTTTCAAATGAATCACAGAAATGTGTGTTTTCCCTTGACTTATTGTTTTTCTTGCTTTCTACAGAATCTAGTAATGGCAACTTCAACATCAAGGCGAGCTCTGGGTACAAATTCGGCTGCCTGGCCAAGATCGTCAATTATATGAAGGTACGTATCCGGACACATTTCGTGATCTAAAAAAGCACTATCAGCTCTCCTGAAGTTCAGTGGTGACAGTATGACTCTCTGATGTGTTGTCGGTGAACGAGCACTGTTTGTTTGAGGCGAATGCATGTTTCCGCCTCGTGGAGATTTTTCTCCTCAATTTGTCACAACAGCATCTACTTAATTGCTAAATGTTAAGCTTGCCCTCATTCCCATCAAAGCTCTTTAAAAGATTGACTTGTTGTCAGATGTGTCAGCCCAGCGAGTTGCTTGTGTGTCCACTGTGCAACATTTGGTCCTCGTCCTTGATTTTGGTGTGTTAACAGCTTGATTATCATGCTGTGGCTCTGCAGAGAGGCAGCCAAGCCCTCTCACATGAGCTGTCTGACTCATCCATCTCCGGAAGAACTCACACACAAGTTGACAGATTTTCTTATAGTGCGAGTATGTTTTTGCCATCCGTGTAATACACAAGCTGGCAGTTGGATGTCAGGCATAAAACTGAAGTAGACATTCGGCTAAAACCTTGTCAAAGGTGTTATTCTAAGAGAGGCATATTTAAATAAGGGAAATCTTATTAACAGCTGACTCCATTTTTAATTTCATATGTGTTTAATGCAAATCCATGCTCTATATCCCCTCGTAAATCTTTCAGACAAGGCATCAGAATGGCGACACTCACTTCCTGACCCTGGATGAGATTCTGGATGAGACTAAACTTCTTGACATCAGCATGAAACAGAAACAGTGGCTCATGACAGAGGTGAGTTTTGACCTCAGGGCCAAGTCAAGGTATCTGTGATTAAAATCTTCTGCCCTTCGCTCTTTAAGCCCCTCAGTGTTTTCATTCTGTGAGGTTATCCATTAACCTTTAGTCTTAGAATTAATAGTTTTAAAAAATGAATGAATAGTGTTGTCGAAAATATCTTTGTGTCATTGTGTCAACAAGCAGAGGATGAATGTGAATCCTGTGTGGCAACAATTTGTCGTCTAGAGATAAAACAGTTTTGTTTTGGGGTTTTGACCAATCAGAATCAAGTGTTTCACCCAGAAGAGTAATAACTTTAACCTGTCACCAAAAGTGTGCTTTGCCTTTTCTCATTCTGTTTCACTCCAGTGGCTTTTATTCTGTTACAACATTGTGTGTCAGCCACAGTAAATGGTAATATTACACATCAACCAGCATCTCCAGAAAGTTCTTGAAGATGCTCTTACAGTAGAAACCCACACGACCTGTAGAAAATTCAAGCTAATGTTACTGAAGTTAGCCAAAGCTTAGACAGATCACATATAATCTTTTTAATGATGCGTCATTTATCTCAGTAACCCTTTCTTTTACGGTACACTTATTACCAGGTAATTAACAGGTAATTACGTTGTAACAACATTAAATTATCTGGTAATTACATGATAACTACTAAGTCAATACTGTCTAGCTACCAGGTAGGTAATCTTCTATCATCATACAAATTTGAAGCTAATTGCCCTGGTATTTCCAGGATTTTCTCCACTTCCTGGAACCACCTCTTGTTCAGTAGCATTGTACGCATTCGGCAGGTGAGTCGCTGTGATAATGCTCGGCTCAAACAGCGCATTGCTACGCAATCTTTGCACCCCAAATAGCTTTTGAAAATGGAGCTGCACAGAAAAAAGAAAAAAAGAAAAACTAGACAGTATTTACTTAGTAGTTATCATGTAATTAGCAGATAATTTCATGTTGTTACTAGGTAATTACCTGGTAGTAAGTGTACCGTAAAAGAAAGGGTTACCTTTATCTCTCTAATATATAAATATTTTCAAATTGTCTGGCTGGTTTGCTACTGACCTGAAGACTTGAAACATAATCTGTACTCATGTTGTTGATCTCAGGCGTTAGTAAACAACCCAAAAATTGAGGTCCGTGATGGGACTTATGGATTCAAGCCAAAGTACAACTTGAAGGACAAGAAAGCCTTACTGAGGCTGCTGGACAAGCACGACCAGCTCGGCCTTGGAGGAGTGCTGCTGGACGACGTGGAGGAGGGACTGCCAAACTCAGCTAAGGCCATTAAGGTAACGCACTTTAATTGGATCTATGCTGAAGAACGTGCACAGTGTCTGTGCACTGTTTGATGAGTGAAAACTGTGGAGACTGAAGGGATTAGAGGCTTAAGCTCATGTGTGTTCACAGGCTTTGGGGGATCAGATCATCTTTGTGACGAGACCAGATAAGAAGAAGATTCTGTTCTACAATGATAAACACTGCCAGTTTACCGTAGATGAAGGTAAGATTAACTCTTTTTAAATATTTGGCTTTTGGGGGTTTTATAATTTGATTTCAGAAGTGTCTTACCCCTTTCACTGTCGTTAAAAAATACTGCTGCTTTTTCCAATACTAAAATTAAGTTTCCCACATAAAAGGTTAATATTTTACAACTTCCCAAAGGTGGTGGAGGTGTAACCTTTGCACGTGACAAAAGTTTTTTTTAAGAATAGTAAACGTGTCCATTATACTAAAGAGAATTAGGGCCACATAAAGAGAATGAAAATAATTACAGGAAGGAGATTAAAGTCGAAATTTCGAGAGAAGAAAGGAGTCCAAATTATGTCAAAGTCAAAATTTCAACATTAAGAACTGAAATTTTGGGATTAAAGAAAAAAATTTGGAGATTAAAAAATGTCGTGAACAATGTTGAAATCTCAAGATTAAAAAAAATTAAATTTGAGAATAAAGTCAAAATTTCGAGATTAAAGTCGACATGAATAAAGTTGACATCTACTTTAAATTTCAACTTTAATCTCAAAATTTCAATTTTTAATCTCTTAAATCGAAATTTTAACTGTAATCTCAAAATTTCAATTTAAATCTCTTAATGGAAATTTTAAAAATCTCCCTCCTGTAATTATTTTTTTCTCTTCTTGTGGCCCTAATCCTCTTTCGTACAATTAGACCAAGCCCTCTGCTAGTTTGGCTCGCATTATTATCTTTTGATGTGTTTGGAAACATAAGAAAGAAAATGTTTGATGTGTTGAATTGATGTGTTAAAATTATGCTTTTAAATTTGTAGAATTCCAGAAACTGTGGAGGAGCGTCCCGGTTGATTCCATGGATGAAGAGAAGATCGAGGAGTACCTGAAGAAACAAGGCATCACCTCCATGCAGGAAACAGGACCAAAGAAAGTGGTGGGTTTTCTGCTTAACTCTTCTCAACTTGATTGTAACAAATTCTTAAAATTCATCGTATTTCTCCTGATGTCTCTTGGAAAAAAAAAAAAAAAGCATTCATACTTAGTCAATCGATGCTTCTGTGGTTTCTATAGTTACCAGTTCAAAAGAGGAAGAAGCAAGGAGGACAGAGAAAGAGACAATTCAAGACCCACAACAACCACTTGGCAGGGGTCCTGGAGGATTATTCAGATGGGGATCCTACGAAGAAATAAGACCCCACCCCACCTTCATACCTTTGTGGGAAAGATGTATAATCTGCAAATCAAAAATGACTCCCCAGGAAAGCCCTGGACAGACTGCGATACAAAGACATTTGTGTTTGTTGTGTCAAACCAGCTAGTTTCTTTTCCTGTCTTTGCACTCCTCTCAGTGATCAGTGATCTTGTGTTACACGGAGTGAAGAGCAGCTGTGTTGTTGGGTCCTCTTTTGTTTATTAGTCAGCGCTGACTAAAGAACACTTGAGGAAAAGAGAGGTAAGACCATTTTAGACACCGAATGCCCTAACCAAAACTATTCCAAAGGGGGGAGCTAGAACCTTATTGTTAGAAAAAAAATAAGGTTAAAGTGTGTAAATACTTTCTTCATTTATTCAGTATTTCACTAAGAGGTGTATGTTTAAGGTTTTATTTGAAAGGGTAGTAGTCCTGATCTGATGGCTACTGTCAATCCTTTTAAAAGGAACTGCGAACGTCAGGATGGAGTTGTGCAGTGCATCATATAGAGGTATTTCACCCAACATGGGAATCTTGGACATTACTTCTTGTGGAATTTGAAAATATGTGAATCTTTTCACTTTGAAGCTCAATTGCTGAGAGGTTTGAAGTGCAAAAACTCTTTTTGAATTTATTTTAATAAATGACAATGTTGCAGCATGCTGTTCATTTTCTTGATTTATGTGAAGTGAAATGACACTGATTCCTGATGACTTGTCAGGTACTATTTTAGATACACATGTTTAAGTGTTATGTTTTAACTGAGAAATGATGAAATCTTCTGATACTTAAATTACAGGAGGCACCTTTAATCTGGTTATACTCTGCTTCGTTTAACTCTCAAGCTTACTAGCTGCTCTATACACAACCTAATAGTAAAATGTTCACTGTATGGTAAGAGTAACTCATTAATTACAAATAAGTACATGCGCAGAGTTTTGGGGGTTATTTAATCAATCATAGAAAACAGTTTTCAGCCCAGCAAAAAAAAGATGGATTGCTTGATCAGCTGTTTTGTTTCCAGTATAAAATATTCATCAGTTAATAAGAGAAGAGGTACTGTTGAAGCTAGGCAAACATTGTATTATATACATTCATTTCTCCATTTAAATAGTGTTTTTCTATGTTAAAGTTTAGCTAGCGTTGTGGCCCGCTTTGACAGTCTTCTTCAAATGGTGGTAGTTTGGCAGAATCTTCATCAGGAAATCGAGCTGAAGAGTCTGGGGCTGAAAAATGACAAAACAAATATGCTGACAAATCAAAAAGAAAGTGGTGAATTTCATGATGCTTTTACACTCCAACATGGATATTTTTTAAAAAGCATGCATTACTTGACGAATACATGAGGGTTTTCAGACTGTTTCAGACATGACAAATACTGATGATATTTAAGTCACTTCCAGGGGAGGCTGTGATTAAATCAACATGACGAAAAAGGGTCATTTTTGCAGGAATTTACCAGTATGTGTCTATCAGTCATGATTGCAGAAGAGGCAATTTTTTTCTAACTAGTGTCGTACATTTTTACATACAAATCAACCAAATATACATTGTTTTGGGATTAATTTCTAACAAATCTGCTATATAAATCTGACAGCATAAAGACACATTTAGAATCTGTATTGAATGTTCATTGAGATACCAAATACCAAAGGTAAACTACAGAAAAAAATATTCATTTCTATTCAAGGTAATGGAGCAACATCTAAGGAAATACAAAATGTCAACGAAAGCACTGCCTGTAAAGAAGTTGGTTAGAAAATTGGCTAGGTTTTGTCAAAGCTAATCACCTTCCTGGTGAGCCTGTCTATATTTACACCAAACATGCACATCCGTACCTGTGGTCTCTCTGTCTGAACCCGCCTCATACATCCAGAGCCGTAAATAACTGTGTTTTCAGGTATGACTTCGCAGGTGTTGACCTGACAGAACGCACCGATGATACAGCCGCTGGTGAGGATCACATTCCTGCCAACGTCAGCTAGAAAGCAGAATGGAGGATAATAAGTACAGTTACTATCTTCATTTATCTCAACAATACATCAGTTTCTGCTGATGCGATATGCAAGCATCATACCTTTTGACTCAATCACGTTGTTATCCCCGATCTTCAGCGCTTGTGATACTGTTAGTTCAAGCTCAGGCAAATGTTTGTTTTTTTGTATGTTTCAAATCATGAGATATTTCAGACATGATATTTTTTGACAAATTGAATAAGACAGACAAGACAAAAGGATACCACATCCAACTTCAAATACATTGTTCATGCCAATAGTCATGGTTTTTGGTTCCACCTCAGACTCTGGTGTGATGTTCTCTGGATAACTGCAGAGGTGGGCAGGGGGTTTTTGTTAGTATGATTGAGGACTTCATAGACACCACATTGGTAAAAAAATATTGCCAATCTAATGTAGGGCTGGGCAATACAATGATAACGATATATCAATAATTTATTTCCCTCAATATCAATATAAAACACGATCAATATGCTTTTCAATAACCGGCATTCTGATATGTTTTGGTAGACTATACAAATGGCCAATGAAAAGGAGAGTTGCTCCAGGTCCGCTTTGCACTGAATCAATCATGTGCTGAATTAAAACCAAGAAGCAAACAACTGTGTAGTAGCAGGCTGCAGCTACACGCAACCATAGCACTTTAACACGTGAAGCAGACAGCACTGTCAGTGAGAAAAAAAGAAAATGAGTGCTACCACCAGGAAGAAATGCAGATGAAGGCTCAATATATGACGACATCGTCGACAACACTGGCACGAAAACGTCGGTGGTGTGGAGGTATTTTGTTTTTTTAAGGTCGGACATGAAGCAGTGTAATGTGCACTGCAAATGTCGAGTACATGTTCTCGTAAAGTCGAGGAATACCTCAAATCCTTTTCACCACCTGAAGCAGTGCCACGTGGCAGAGCACACACAATGCGAAAGGTTACAAACCCAGAGTGGAGCAAGGAGCCCATGGCACGTGTGCAGCGAAAACAGCCGACCATTCAGTCCACTTTCTCTAGTGCAACGCCTTACAACTAAACATCGAAGAGACACAAAGACCTCACAGATGCAGTAGTTTATTATATTGCAAAAGACATGCTACCAATAATCACTGTTAAATTTCATTTTTTATATTGTGATATCCAATGATATCCGTCTGGTATGGAAAAATATATGGTGATAAACTTTTTCCCATATCGCCCAGCCCTAATCTAATGTATGTGATAGATCAGACACCTTACACTTAGGATTTAAATAAGTTACCCGTTAACGATCAGAGCTTGCTCCTCGATCAGATTGCCTTCCCCGATCACGATGGGTCCTGCCTCTGCAATGATGCGGGCTTTTGGGTGGACTACTGTCCTGGGACCTGAAGAAACAATGACTTCAAAGTTAAGTATTCATAAATGCTTGACCACAAATGAAAGATTTCCTACAAAACTTTAGCTTGCATCTTATTCATGGCCTCCAATACCTAAACTCAGGTCTGGTCCAAAATATCCTAAAAATATAAATCTTTATTCTATTTCTGAGAATCCAAGAAAGGAGTTGAAGTCTAGGGATGAGGATGCTGAATCGTGATCTTGTCCAGTGTAGCATCAACAGAGGAAGTGGTGAATTCTTCCTTTCTTGTATTTTAACAAATAGATCCTTCATACAAACCTGATCAAGGTAAAAATTCAAGGAATTAGGGGTTATAATCAGGACCCAGCCCCATCTAGATGTGTGGGGAAACTGATATCGCCTGTTCTGCACTGTATGTATGCTCGCTTTAATAATGTAATCCAGATCTGACAAGTCTAACTATAATGGATCAGGACCTTGTTAAACTCCTCATCAGGCGTTGTGAATAAGATGCAAACATCAGAGTTGTATTTTTTCTGTGTAACTGGGGAGATTTCAAGTCTTCAAGTACAACCAAAGCATATTGTTTAAGTCATTTTATCACCACTCAGTGAGCCAAACATAAACCTCTTACCTATGGTGACATCTCCTTTAATTTCACTTTCAACACAAACTACGGCTCCAGCCGCAATTTTGACACTGTAATAAAGTAAAAGAGAACAGAAACTCAGATTATTATAGAGGAAAAAAAGGGTAAAGATGTTAGCTGACGCTGTATGTTAGCTTCTCTGCTTAGCCGTCTTTACCAACGTAAGCTCAGGTCAATGGTTACTTTAAGGTGTAGTTTTACTCATCAGTTTGTGGAGTATACACATCTAGCTTTAAAAAATGTCATATTTATCAGGTAAACTATATTTATACCTTTTCTGTGCATTTTGTTTATCTGCCATTGTGATGGATGAAGTCACCGAGGGCGGCGCCGTTGAGTCACTCGGTTTTCGATTTAGAGTCCTAGTAATGACATACTACGCGCATGCGTGACTGTGAAGCTGGTCCAAATCATACAGTCTATGGTCCTAATGTGTCATGTTGGAGATAGAGTTGAGAATAAAATAAGTTTATTATATATATATATATATATATATATATATATATATATATATATATATATATATATATATATATATATATATATATAAATTCATATGATATATAAATCAAGATAAATTGAAAAAGTGATTTAGTTCCTGAATACATCATTTTATTTCATGAAAGAAACTAAATAAGGCTGTAAAGGTCAACTACTGTTTTGGTAAAATTCATATTCATAACTCTATATTCAATAAATCTCACCCACACTGCGCATATTTCATCTATGAATGTAAATATTTCAGATACTTTAAATAATTAACAAAAAAAATACAGAAAATGAGTAGAAATATGTATTGCCTCTAACTTTGCTTACGTATGACAATTTCCCCTTGTTCTTTTATCTTTTATCTGTCATCTGTCATCTCTTTTACCTCTATCTTTTCTCGGCTTAACCGTCTTTTTGGCTTTTTTTCATACTTGTACTCTTTTCTTGATAAACCTTATAGGACTACCTCTTGCTCAATTACTATTATTACCAGCATTACCTGTTATTATTTTATTATCATGTTGATATTGCCTTTTACATTTACTATCCTATTTCTGCTTTCAACCCCCCTTTTAATTACATTTTATTTTGTCTTACCTATTTTATGTTTTTATTTTGGTCCTTGTGGTCTCATTTTATGTTGCGTGGTTCTTGTATTGTCTTGGTTCCTTATGACCTGAAAATGGCCTTCAATTCCGTTTTAACAGGGCTTTTTCTAGGTGCTTTATGACTATCAGTCAGAGTACTTTGTAAACTTCTGTTTTTAAGTTGTGAGTGATTTACAGCCCAGATATGAATGAGTTGATCTTGATTTTTCTTGTGCTCATTATTAAGTTTTGGGTTTGATGAAAGGGCGTTGATCCACCCAGTACAGCAGACTGGCGTTGTCACGTACTTTGACCCTCGTCGCTTCCTCTACGGTGTCAAAACAAGGAAGCGTCGGAAGTAGCGTCTATGGCCAAAAGGAAGGCAAAGAAGGGAGTCTCATCTTCAGTGGTGGGAGTGAAGAAGGGAAGTCAGAAGGATACGAAAAAAACAAAGGAATTGAATATGTTTTCTCTTGCTGCTGTTACTTTAATGGTGGCTCTTTGTGTGGTTCCACTGACAGCTGAACGATCTAAATGTAAGTATGGAGGACTTTAGACCTGAGTGTGATGAGAATGACTTCACAACTGGATCAGCTGCAGTTTATAACATAACAACCAGCAGTTTTACATCACTTTAAAAACGAAAAGCTAAACACATAACCCCTTAAATCAATGAATGTGGATATTACCACATTACTACTGTTGTACTTGTCTTGTATTAGATGTTAGCTTTGAGCTAACAGCACCACCTCTGATGTCCAGCTGACAGCTGAGGAGTCAGCTCCTCCAGTCGTTTGAACCTCCCTCCTGTCCGGGGGTTAGTGTACGGATTAATTCAGCATGTGACCTCGGGTTTCTACAGCCATAACTTCAGCCCTCTCACGTGTTTTCCTGCTTTATTAAAGCAGCATGTTAGCTCTCTGGCTGAGACTTGGTAGAGGTTTTATCTAGCTAACGTTAGCTCGCACATGGTATGGATAGTAGTGATCTGGTCCATCTCCGCAGACGGTGAACTTGAGGTCTGAGGTGAGTCAGGAGGAGTCAGCTGGTTGCTCAGCTGGGGCCGCTAAAATGCATAATCAAAATGGCTGTTGGGGTGAATTGTGTTGCAGTTTTTATTGAGTATAATGCACATGGTTTTAAGAAGAGAATGAGAAATGTGCTGCTACAGCTGTGCCTGGTTTACAGTGTTTGAAAGTGCTTTGTTGTGTTTAGATGCTTTGCTGTTGCACACCCACCCTTAGGTGTAGCTAGGGCTGGGCGATATGGGAAAAAGTCTATCACAATATATTTTTTTCATACCAGTCAAAATCGATATATATCACAATATAGAAAATGAAATTTAACAGTGCTTATTGCTAGCATGTCTTTTGCAATACAATAAACTCCTGCATCTGTGAGGTCTTTGTGTCTCTTTGATGCTTTGTCGTAAGGCGTTACGCTCATAGACTGTGTATACTATGGAGAACTTGGTTCCGCCTTCTGCCAGTATTCAGATTTGAAGCCAGAAAGCTCTCGATAATTCCGTGTTTTTTTCTCCACTTCCTGAAACCAACATTGCACAGTAGCATTGTACACACTCCACCACTTGCGCTGTAGCATTGTACACATTCAGTGAGAGTCGCTGTAATGACGCTCAGCTCAAACAGCGTATCCCCCTGGGTGAGCTACGCAATCTTCGTACGCCCATAGGCTGCATCAAGTGTCAATCATAGAAAACATGAACCTCCTTATAACTTTAAAAAACGGAGCTGTGCAGAAAAAAGAGGACTTGAGCAACTCCATGAGCTTTGCTGGAGGAGGCGGGATTTATGACCTATACTGCAGCCCGTCACCAGGGTGTGCTGTTCTCGGAGTGGCTTCACCCAGCGAGGAGGCAGACGCTGTCCAGTCTATATACAGTCTATGGTTGTGCTAGAGAAAGCGGACTGAATGGTTTTGCTGCACTGGCACCAAGGGCTCCTTGCTCTGCTTAGGGATTGTAACCTTCTCACCAACAGTGCTGTCTGCTTCACGTGTTAAAGTGCTATGGTAGCGTGTAGCTGCTGCCTGCTACTATGCAGTTGTTTGCTACTTGGTTTTAATTCAGCACATAATTGGTTCAGCCCGAAGCGGACCCGGAGCAACTCCCCTTTTTAGTGGCTATTTGTATAGTCTACCAAAACATGGCAGAATGCCGAAAATCGTTAAGGATATTGGCCGTGTTTTATATTGATATATCTACAATATATCGTTATCGCTTTATTGCCCAGCCCTAGGTGTAGCCTCTCATTTGTATTTTCCAGAGGACAATTGTTGTGCTGATTGTTTTTTTGAATAATAAATGTGTGTTATTGTGTTGTCCTCTAGCTGGCTTCCCTCATCAGAAGCATATAGTCCTGAAAATGGATGAGGCACTTCTGACAGTCCATAATGAGCTGGAAACCGAGGTGGAGGTTTCCTGGGTGTCAAAGCGCTGCTATCAGGTATCAGATGCTATCAGATCATTTTATTTACTTTGGAGTTCTTTTAAGTGAATCTAATGTCCTTTAAAATATGTTTAATTTTATGGTCAAGCCTTTGTGTGGTTTTTGATCCGGTGACGCATCTGTTTTATTTTGATATAATTGTAAAAGACTCCATAACTTGGTTTTGAAAGTACTCTAAAACTAAGTGTGTTATTATTATTATTATCATTAGTATTATTACTGAGGATGTAGAGGGTGCTAGGATTGGTTACATTAAATGTTATTCCTTATATTTTGTCCACATCATTAACAAACATGAGCACAATATTAGGAAAACCTTTTCAATATAATGCACTCCACTTCACCGCCAATGCTAGCTACAGCTTTACCAATCGATTTAAGGAACAATAATCACCAGTTTGACCATATCAACAAAGTTTGGACACATGGTATTTGTGGTAGAGTTCTTGCATTTGGTTGCATTTGATTGCTCAGATGTTCATAATGTCACAGTGGTCAGTGTATACCCAGTACTCTTCTGTCGTTGATTCTATGATTGTATGAATTGGAGCATAATGATGATGATGAATTTACAGTCTGCACCCTTGTTTCTGTTTGTGCTAGTGTTTGTACCAGAAGCTGGGGGTAGTAGCTGCAGGGTCCAGTCCCGGTCAGCCCAGTTCAGCAGACTTCATTGTGAGCACACAGCATCAAATAATACTACAGCTCAATGGCACCTCAGCCAAAATGGAGCTCTGCAAGTAAGTCAAAGAATTGTGTGTTTAAGTTTAACCCACTGTACGTAAAAGTGTATGAGTATAAGTGATTGAAGCAGCACTTCTGATCCTCTCATGAATTGTTATTTACATATAATGCATGAAAAATAAAACTTTTAATGACATGTTCATAACATAATTTAACTTATTGTCTTAACATGGTGTGGTGCTCTAATGGACACGTGAATACAGATTGAGAAATGAAAGATTTTTGATAGAATTAATTGGATATACACTTGACAAAGAGCAGAATTTGAAGCCATATGGTTGTACATTTAATCAAGGGCAGTATGTTATAGAGATATAGAATGATAAGAGTTATAATTAAAGAGCGGTAAGGTGACTTTGAGTTCTCAGTTTGATCCTTCATTGATCCTCAGGGTTCCATTCCACTTTGGAGAGCATGGGAACTACTCCCTGTGGGCGAAAAATCTGAATGACTCCTCAGTGGTCAACTGCTCAGTAGTGACTGACGCAGATGCTATCAACAGCTACATACGTGAGTCTCCATCATATTCGCTGAATTCATGAGCTCGTTCATCATGCTGTATAATGAAATGATACCTTTCTACATTCATACAGCAATCCTGATTGCTTTTGTTATCTTTGCTGGACTCGCCTTGATGTCTGCCATTGGAAGAACAATATATGGGTAAAGTTATTTTACTGTTTTGTTCCCTTAACATTTTAATGGACATGGACTAAAACCAAATCTCAGTATCTGCAGTTAATAATAGTGATCTTATGTAGATCGTTTTGCTGAGATTTAGTTGTAGTTTAGGAGCGTTCGTTGCTTTGATGCCAGTTTAGAGTGTGTGTGTTTTATTGAATAATCCCTCAACAGTTTGATCTCTTTCTTTCGCAGGCTTGAAGTAGTGAGGGGGATCCTTTTCCGAATTGGTGGCTCTATGGAGACAGAGCGGCTCATTAACTCTGTGAGCGTTTGTAAAACATTAATTCACCTAACCGAAAAGTTTAAGAGATTATTCAGCCAAGATGGTTTTTGTTTTTAAACCTTGATTTTAGAGAGGAAATTTATAATCCAGCTGTACTGAATCTAACATAGAACTTAAACAACACTGTAGATTGAAAAGAACTAAATGTGCTACTGGATATATGTGTCTAGACTAGAGGTGCTTATAAAAAAGTTTGTAAGAGTCAAATTTTACAGCTACAGTTTGTTACTCAAGAGTCAGGACAGGAGTTCAGGTTTCTCCAACTGAAAAAATGATCTATAACTTTCATTATTCAGGAACTGGGCTCTCCAGGCAGGATAGTTCCACCTGTTACTGACAACATCCTCCCTCCACCACCCAGTCCAAGCAAGAGGCTTCGATCTCTGGACACATTCAGAGGGTAAGCGCCATACTTGCCATCCTGTAACGTAGCGTGATCAGAAGTGGGGATATCAACCAAGAATGACTTGGTTATCTTTTTTTAATACAACTGTTACGATCTTTCAGAATTCAAACTTCAAGAAAGAAGAAAGTGTGATCTTGATTTATACTACCATGCTAGTCACAGCTGTCACTGAATTCAGATTATTATCAGCTAGATGAAGCGATTGAAGTGGAGCTGTGGCATTTAAAAACAAAAGGAAAAAGGGAAGAACATATAAACAAATGACTTTTTGCTGTGATGTGTCCTCACACAGTATCATGTGATTGTCACTGCAGTGCCGCATTTTGGCAGCAGACACTGAAATTTCTGCTGGTTAATGAGGGATATACTAATTGTATTAAACTGGATGTGGGCCCTTGAATTATAATGTGTATTTGAATGTATTTTTCTTTGTAGAATTGATCATTTAGCTCCATTTGTGTTTTATTTTAACCCTTGAGCATTGTTTGAAACAAATCTATTTATGTAACTTTGCTTTTCTGATACAGAGCCTTGCCTCCAGTGCTTGAAGTAATGATGCATGTTTTTATTTTCCTCTCAGCATCTCCTTAGTCATCATGGTGTTTGTGAACTACGGAGGGGGAAGATATTGGTTTTTTAGACATGAAAGCTGGAACGGTAAGTCGAACCTGCTCCTGCTGCAGAATGAGAATCAGCTTTATTGGCTGAGTATGTGTACTCATACAAGAAATTTGACTCTGCTAAAACTTTGTTCTATATGTATAAACATTAGACATGACATGTTGCAAAAATTGCTTTTGACTTCTTAATCATCGTACAAATAAGTCATCAGTTATAAAACTGACATATATAGTTGCCAAGTCTGCTTATTACAAGCGACTTTGTGCTTGTTTTTGTCAGAGGTGGCTTGTAAAACTCGTGAGTCGTGGGTTGTGGTTTTTTGGGCTTGTTTTTTTACTCGTAGTTGCTTATTTGGGCTTGCTTTTCTGTCTGCGTGAATCCCCACTTGTTGTCTTACACAAAAGCAAAGCATAGCGTGAGTGTGGTAGGTAGCTTGTCCTGTCCAGACCACTGTTTCCTGAATCACGCCCTCTCGAGTACTCGGCAAGCCCCCAAACACACTCGCACACAGCGCATCATGCTCATGTACGCCAGAGCGCTGTGATTGGTTGCCTGTTGGGCTTATTTTAGGCTTGTTTTCATGGATCTGGTTGCTTGTTTCTCTCAGGAGATTTGGCAACACTGCTGACATACTGTTTACTAGTGTGGTAATGGATTTGAAACATGTCTCTTATTTTCTGACAGGGCTAACGGTTGCAGATCTTGTCTTCCCTTGGTAAGTGTGATGTAAAATTTTGCCTTTTTCAGATCAGTGAGCTTGATTGTAAGTCTTCTGAAACATAAGAGTACATTTGCAGCAACATTATTTTTATATTGATAATATCACCATATTCACAGAAATAGATATGATTTAAATTTTGCATTTAGTAGATTAAAATGGGTTCAAATTCATCTTTAAAAATAAAAATCAATCTAAAATGATTGACCTTGCCAGTGATGTTGTTTCATGAGTAAAGTATTTAATTAAGACATTTTGAACTTAGGCTCAATGCTCATATTTTACCCCATTTTATGAGCAGTAAATGAATCTGTTCTGTCTCTTTCCTTCCTCTCCCAGGTTTGTGTTTATCATGGGGACCTCCATCGCCCTGTCAATCAACTCCCAGCTCCGCTCAGGCTCCACCCGCTGCTCTCTGCTCAGGAAAGTTTCGTGGAGAAGCCTTCAGCTCTTTATCATCGGTGTCATCATCATCAACCCAAACTACTGCCAAGGACCATGTGAGTATAAACACACTTATTTAATGTTGACCAAAATGTTGTATTTTATCGAAATGATAGATAACCTGTGTTTTTGTACTTGGCCATGGATGTTGTCATTTTCTCCATCTGGTTTCTTTTTTTTTTCTTTTTTTTCTTTTTTTTTTTATATTTTATATAACATACAAACAAAATAAAACAAAACAAAACACAATAATAGTGATGGTGGGTACATATACAGACAAGACAGAAACAAAAACAGTTAACAGTATCTGGTTTCTACCTGCGTGCTCGCTAAAACTACATCCTTGTCTGCTTCTCAGTATCGTGGGACAACCTGCGAATTCCAGGTGTGTTGCAGCGTCTGGCCTGGTCATATCTCGTTGTCGCCTGCCTGGATTTGTTAGTGGCAAGAGGTCATCTCGACATCCTCACAACGGTCAGCCAACAGCTTCACGATACTGTCTAAAACAAAATAACTTCACTGACTGTGAATACATGAAACACAATGAAATCCAGATGGTCAACCAAAGTGTTTGTTTGATGATGAGTGACTGTGTTTTCCAGGATGCCTGTTGGTCGCCTGGACTTGATATCCTGCTGTACTGGCCGGCCTGGCTGTGTGTGCTTCTCTTAGAAACAGTCTGGCTATGCCTCACTTTCCTCCTTCCAGTTCCAGATTGCCCAACGTGAGTCAAACAAAACACGCTGAGTGTATTTTTGGAACCAGGAAATGCTCGGCAAAACAAGACGGTTTTATCCTCTCCCCTATAAAAATATCTGCACATGCAGTTTTAGTCTTCTGAGTGTTCAGTCTGATCTTACTGCTCTGTTTTAAGAGAGTCAGTTTCCTTTTCTTTGATGTAGACTCAATGCTGAAAATGTCTTGCTACTGAAACTCTTTCAAAGAGTTACACATCCTGAATAGACATGCTGTCTAACTGCTTCTACTATACGACAAGATTTTTTTTTCTCCAGAGTGAAACTTAAAGCTACTATAAGGAGTTTTTAGCTGGTTATGATGCAGACTGAAATCAATACAAATTCTTTTTCATGGCCTGCAAACACAAATAAGATCACCAGCAACATGACTGACCATTTGTGCTATACAGTGATTATCACACTTGTAACACTGCCATGGGGGAGGTGTGAGACAGTTAGAGCAAGCTGCTAATTCAGCCTTCATTTCCTTTTTCTAAATCAGAGGTTTCCATAAGCGATGTGTTTGACTATAAAAAGACACTGAGAGGCTTTTTATCGAGAGAACACAGTTCACACATGTACAGGACAAGATCGACAAAGAGATCAGACACACCACAGAAGCCATACTACACACAAACCGAAAGTTTCACACAGGAGTTTCAAGCTCAGCCGAATAGTCACTTGATTATTGAATTACTTTCAACACATACAAATGCTAACCTTATTCTGCGCTGGTATGTGAAATGTCTTCAGTCTTTCCCCTCACTTTCTTTTTGAACCTCACTTGGTACACCTTTAATCCTACATTGATAACACTGACCTCTCCCCTGTTCTTGTAAACAGAGGCTATCTGGGTCCAGGTGGGATTGGAGACATGGGCCTTTATGCTAACTGCACTGGTGGGGCGGCTGGTTACATCGACCGGTGGCTGTTTGGGGAAAAACACATCTACCAGACTCCTTCATCCCGAGTTAGTAACCTGCATTACAACCCAAATCTACAAACAATAGCAGTCATACTCTGTATATTTTGAGTCAAGCTGAAACCCTCATATCAAGTTTTCCTCTCCAGAAACCGAAGTCATGGTAACATCACAAGCAATGCGAGGGTAAACTGTGTCAGAGCTCAAATATGTTGACAAAAATCTACCTTTGTGTTCTTTTCATTAAGGTGATTTACGGGACTCGTATGCCATATGACCCAGAAGGTGTTCTTGGCAGTATCAACTCCATTCTCATGGCTTTTCTTGGATTACAGGTCTATCATGTGTATTTGTCTTCCTGTCTTAAGATAATCTTAAAATAATATTTCTCAGTTGGACAAACGCTGTTTTCTCCTGATGTTTGTACTTTAAATCCTCTCCAGGCAGGAAAAATAATCTTGCACTACAGAGATGTCCACACAAGTATAATGTCCAGGTTTCTCATGTGGGGTCTCTTTTTGGTAAGTATATCTCTCTATTTTCTTCATATCGTATGCCGTGAAAAAAATATGTGAAAAAAATGAAAAAATGGCTTTACATTACTCCTATAAATATTAGATGAATCATTGTGGCTGATGGGGTTTAAATGTAAGTGTTTGTATTTTACTTCATGGCATTTAAGCTTTCTGATGATTTAACAAAATCTCTTTTAACCCCTCAGGGAATCATATCAGCAGCTCTGACCAGCTGTTCAACAGACCAGGGTATCATTCCTGTCAACAAGAACCTGTGGTGAGGTTTATTTTTATGCACTTACAGGGTGAAAATATTTGCATTGCAGTTGGATTTTGAATTTTGGGGGACATTGCCTCATAGATAAAAAAGTAACAATATTCTCAGGTTTTATTCATTGTTATGTGGTGTACAACTGTATATGATAGCTTTATGTGATTTATTTGTTTACCCTCATTTAATTATACCTTCTTCTGAACCACTGTATGATAGTATGGAGCACCAACAGTAGAAGAAACCATATTTACAGAACGATATTTTCCCTCACTTGTACTTTGTATTTAATTAACAAATAGTTTTGTACAACAGACAGCTGAGGAGTGTTTAAAGCTCAGAGACCAATTCCAGGACAGTGCACAGGCCCAGCCAGGAGTTAATAACCTGCACTTATGATCCACATTCAAAAGCACATTCAACAAGTTTCCACGTCTTTTCCGAGCAGAAACATAGACAGTGGAAAATCACTTTTAAAAATATATTATGCGAAATGAAATGATGTATTCTCACTACTTTTGTGTGTCCGGTTTGTTTCCCTGCCAGGTCTCTGTCCTATGTTACAACGCTGGCCTGCTTTGCATTTGTGCTGCTGGTAATTGTCTACTACACCGTGGATGTGAGGAGGTGGTGGTCTGGGGCTCCATTTTACTACCCTGGTGAGCATTTTTCTGTATAATGAGATCTTGTATAAACTCATAACAATTTTGAGTGTAAGCTTTGTCCACACTGGGCTTCCTCTTTTCATATTAGCACAGTATTTCCTTCTGGCTCAGTTTTAATGAACAGCTATGAAGCATTAAACAAACGGACAAATTTTTAATCACTTGAAATTAGCATTAAATACTTGTAATAAGTGTTGTAATAATTCTCTGTAACTTTGCTTCAAGGAATGAACTCCATTCTTGTGTACGTGGGCCATGAAGTGCTTGAGGAGTACTTCCCTTTCCGCTGGCGCATGGTCGATAACCAATCCCACGCTGAGCATCTCACCCAGAACCTGGTGGCTACCTCCTGTTGGGTCCTCATCTCCTACGTGCTCTACAGAAAGAGGATTTTCTGGAAAATTTGAAATGATGAGACACTCAAACAGCAGCACCAGCAGGCATTGTTTACCTCAAATATGCTGAAGTTAACCCAAAAAGACAGGAAACAGGAGACTGATTTGTTTTCTAAAAATGTTGATGGTTTGTCAAAAACAAAAGGCTTTTACTTTAAAGAACTTCTTTAAAATAAAAGCAGTTATTCAAAATGTTCAGACTTCCCAAAAACTTTTGGATAGGTAGCCGTGTGGCCCTGCCAAATACCTTAACTGACTCAGGAACAACATTTCCAAGAATAGTTTCAGACTTAAAGAGAACTCTGTAGTTGGACAGGTTAATGCTCCGGTTATCAGTCCTCATCTTGTGCTGCAGTCTTCAGGGACAGGCTGTTGTGATCCTTATTTACCTTTCCGTTGGTGGTATTAATGCTGCAATTTACTACATAGTACTTTGGCATTACTCTAAAAGCAAGGTAGATATTGGTGAGGCTGACTCATCCGGGGCAGAGTGGAGAATGTAAAAGATTTGCACTCTGTAAAGAGAGGCACCACAGCTGGAGATTAAAGAGATGTTTTTAACCGGAAAAAAAAAAAAGTACTGTGAGGTTAAAGGATGTGAAAGTTAAACTTCTGTGTAAGTGATGTTCCTCTGTAGGCATTATCTTTTTAGTGAGAAAGTGTCCTGTGGTTTGACAGGACAATATGCTGTCTGTTACTTGTGTAACAAACTAAGGGGAAGTGAAGATGGACATATCAGCGGACTTTTCAAACCCATTGAAAGTAGCTCATTCTGTATGTTAAATACGTCTGGATCAGTTCATACTATTTGATGAGGTTTTTAAAAACACTAGGCACAAAGTAACCCCTTTTTGTGTTGATGCATAAGCCCCTCTGTGGGAACCTTTGCAAAACGTATTTGCCAAAATTGAGTGCAATTTTTTAAACATTTGGGTAAATGTGTCATGAGATTAAACAAAGGACTTCTACTGTGTAACACCCATGTATATCAGTTTGATTTATATGAAACGTATTTCATAATGTTGTGAGACCACATAACTGTTGACTATACTTTAAAAAACACACATATGACTTCTGCAATTTGCAGATTGTGTAAATAAACATTTCATTGAGATATTTCTAAAAATCCTCTGTTGATCATAGAAACTCAAACATTGTCAGATCAATTTTCATCTAGTACTGTTTAAATCAAAACTCATTGTCAAACTTTTATACTGTTTTTTATTTCAAACTATGTAATAAAACTGACTTTAATTCTCGTTCATGGTGTTTTCTTCCATCATTCATCATTTTCTTGCAAACTTGTGCACAAGTCATTAAAGAAAGAACTTTTATATATGAAGGGTTCCCTGTTTGGTTTTATTCGAGGTTTAATTCGAGATCATTTACAGTATTAAAATTTAAAAGGTTACAGTATTAAAGTTTTAATGTTATGAGACCACATAACTGTTGACAATACTTAAAAAAAAATTTGACTTCTGCCATTTGCAGATTGTGTAAATAAACATTTCATTGAAATATATTCAAAAAAATCATCTGTTAATCTATAGAATATCAAACATTGTCAGATCAAATTTTTACCTTATACAATTTAAATCAAAACTCATTGTCAAACTTTTATACTGTTTTTTTTTATTTCAAATTATGTAATAAAACTGACTTAAATTCTCAATGATTATTCATCATTTTCTTGCCAACTTGTCCACAAGTCATCAAAGTAAGCACTTTCTCTGTTATTATGATGCTTAATATAATATTATAGTAATATTAATAATATTATCATATATATTTAAACCATTAGTGTAGGAGAAGGGGTGGAACAAGATAAGTCTCAACTTCTTCCCACTCCTTTTTGAACATGAATAATATTTTGTCATTTGTTGTTGTATTCTTTACTGTTTTATTATTTTCTTTTATATGTTCAAGTAAACTTCAAAGTCAATCAAAAAAAAAATCGTTTCCCTGTTTGAAGAAGGATTTATTTAAGATCCTTTACAGTATTAAAGTTTACAGCGGGTTCCCAGCTTGTCAGTGTGTCGAGGTGTAGTTTGCTTTATTGCTCAATAAGGCGTGGGAATAGAGTTACAGTGTGAGTGCTTGGTGAAGAAAAAAAACAGTCGTGAGGGTGAGTCTTTATCTCGCGATGTTTCCGACCCAGCAGCATTCATGTCAATTGTGAGAGTTTTTCTGATCTCGCGTGACTTTACAACTTTCCCACGCCTGTTGTTTTGGCGTCTGCCCTCCGCCCGTCGCTACTCCCTCCCCCTTTTCTCACCCCTTTGCCCCGTCACACCTCCCCCTCTCTTTCTCTCCCAGCTTTTCCTTCCAGTCTGATTCTTCTGTTTGTGCCGTTGGCTGCAGAGGCGACTGGGGGAGGGATCTCGCGATTGTTGGCATTTTTTTTTTTTAGAGGGGGGGAGAGTTATTTGGAAGATGGCGCCCGTTGTTACGGGGTAAGTGTTGAAATTCAAAGCTGAACGTCCCCTTAAAAAGTGTCTTTTTTCACGTAAAAACCGCTAAAAAGTGACGGATATTCAGTGATGTTGTGGGTAACTCTTGCTTTTGGACTTTAACCTCAGTTACCCCACACAGTGCTGCTTTTGTGGCTTGATGTGGGGTAAGTTGTGCAAAACTATTCTTCGTAGTTGCGTTAAACTTATCTCCCGTTTTCTCAGCTGGTTGTCGAGTTGTTTCTGCGAGTTAGTTTCGTGTGAAAACTATTTTAGAGACGTTGTAAACCACTAAACAGTTTTGGTTGAACTATTTCTGTGTTTAAAATGTTTTAGCCAGTTACAATGTTGAAGTTTGTTGCTCCTTAAACGTCAAAATCGTCAAGTAGGTATGGAAGCGTAGTGCTGGATTAACACAACAGCATCTTGACTGTACATTTACTGGTTAAACTCCTAATTTATCAAATTAAAATTGCACAGAATGTATATAAAAGTGTTGCATACGGTTTCATTATGTTGAAAGATCACTCATAAGTACTTTAAAATATTGAAAACAATGGCAGTACTTCAAGTGGATCAGATTTTGTAAGACGTGCACCTGTATTGCAGCTGGTGTAAAGTTACACACTTTGACTCAGTATTATGTTGTTAATTTTACCTCTGCTATCTTAGCCTTAAACTGAAACCACGTGTAAACACCTTACACTTTGATGTTTTTGTTTTGCAGGAAGTTTGGTGAGCGACCACAGCCTCAGCGTTTGACAAGGTAGAAACACACTTTGTTGTCTTCGGTCTGACAACAACTTTTAAACTTAGAAACACTCTCAATTGTAATAACTGTCTTCTCTCATTTCAGGGAGGCTATGAGGAATTACTTAAAGGGGAAGGAGGATCAAACCGTTCTCATACTTCATGCAAAAGTTGCGCAAAAGTCATATGGCAATGAAAAAAGGTTGGTGATGGATTGTTTCAGGAGATACACTTTTAGTTTGTGTGTCGGTTAATTATTTTTTTTAATCTGACATGGCTTTTCTTCCTGCCTCGATCAGGTTTTTCTGCCCTCCACCATGTGTGTACCTGATGGGCAGTGGCTGGCAAAAAAAGCTAGAGAGTATGGAGAAGGAGGGCTGCACAGAGCAGGAGGCGCAGCCGTGTGCGTTCATCGGGATTGGTAACAGCGAACAGGAGATGCAGCAGCTCAATCTGGAGGGGAAGGTAAATAGACGTGAATAAAAACAGATACCTTTGCTCTTCAAATACTCCTTATGCTTCACTTTTTGTAGCTGTTTTTTGCGTCTCGACTGATTTACCACACAAATATAACCGCAGCATGAAGTGCTTCGCCTTGCAGTTTTGCCATATCCTCTGTTTGCCACTCTAAAACCATGTTTAAAAGCTGTAAACGACCATGTTCTCTGAGGCAGTCTACCGGGAAGTGAAAGGGGCAAAAACATGAACATACATGCTCACACAAAACCACCTAACCTGTCTTTTTCTCCCTACGTAAGCATTTCTGTACGGCAAAGACACTGTATATCAGTGACTCTGATAAAAGGAAACACTTCATGCTGTCTGTGAAGATGTTGTACGGGAACAGCGCAAACATAGGAGTCTTCCTCAGCAAGAGGATCAAGGTCATCTCTAAGCCCTCCAAGAAGAAGCAGTCCTTAAAAAATGCAGACTGTGAGTTTCAGAAAGTGTCAACACACACAGAAACTGGCTCGTGTAAAAATCCTCTATTTCTCACACATTCTGTCTTTCTCTCTTGTCAGTGTGTATAGCTTCAGGCACCAAGGTGGCATTGTTTAACCGCCTGCGCTCCCAGACAGTCAGTACACGGTATCTTCATGTAGAGGGGGGAAACTTTCTTGCCAGCTCCCAACAGTGGGGGGCTTTCTACATCCACCTGTGTAAGTCACACACTTTTCTTTCTGATTTTATTTCATCTCCTGTGCCAGTTTTTGGTTTTCAATTTTGAGTAAGAAATACAATGTACCTGTAAAAACGTGAATGTAACCATTTTACTGTTGTTTTTAGTGTGAATTTTGAGAATTTAGGCTAATCGTAAGCATTAGTTTAAAGGTAGAGAGTGATAGTAAGACATTGGAAATATTCTCATGCTCTTTTTCATTTTGTTTAGTGGACGATGAGGAGTCTGAAGGAGAGGAGTTCGCTGTCAGAGACGGTTACATTCACTATGGACAGACAGTCAAATTGGTGTGCTCTGTTACTGGCATGGCCCTGCCCAGACTGGTATGCATATATTTTGGTCGGCCTATTTGCATGTGCCGGTGGGATGTGTTTGAAACTGTAAGTTATTTGCAAATGTGTGTTTATGGTGAGTGTTTGTCTTCAATTCCACAGATCATTCGCAAAGTGGATAAGCAGGCGGCGTTACTAGACGCAGATGACCCGGTGTCTCAGCTTCACAAGTGCTGCTTCTATCTGAAAGATACTGACAGGATGTATCTGTGTCTCTCACAGGAGAGGATCATCCAGTTTCAGGTGTGTAACTACCCACACAAAGGGGTAACTTAGATTTATTTTAAATTCTCTTTGGTTCCAGTTTAAATATCTTAACCTTTTGTATGTCCTTGTGGTAGCAACTTGTTTTCCATCTTTATTGTCATTTAGAATATATTTCAGAAAGTAATGTATTTGATTAAGCACGTGAAAAAAACATGTCTGTGTAGTTGATATCGCTTGCAGTGGTGGCAGGTAAGTATTGACTGTATCCTGCATGCTCCTGCAATGTGTAACTAGTTCTGATGTCAGCGAGGTCCAGAACTTGGTAGCTAAACCCACAGTCAGAAAATCAGCACTAATTAAACTTGAAATAATAATGTAATCACAGGCTATTTGGAGTGATTAGCTACAGTTAATTTATACTCTCCCTTTCTTACTCTTTCACTTCTCTCTTTCTTACCCCTCTTTCTATCTCTTCCTCTTCAACCTCCCCCCCGAACAAGATTTAAACTAAATTCCTGTCATGTTATATATTAACCATACATAGATGTCAGAAAAATAATACTGCATCTGACTTGCAGCCTGAGCTGAATCCCAGAGTGTGGTCTTCTTTGTCTTCAAAATGTTTTACTTGCAAGGAGTCAACAGCTTATAACAAAGGCATCTTCCTCTAACTGAGGAATTCAGATTTTTACACATCCTTTATGCAGTCAAGAAACAGACACCCTCGCCTAACATATCATCTAACAAGTGGCATAACATAACAACAGCATCCAAATATGGTAAAGGTTGCAGCTGTGGTCTGTACTGGAAAGACAAAGACAGCTTAGTTCATCATCAGGTTCCTGCATATCAGTTCAATGTCACACTGTTGGGAAAACAACCTGTAAAAAAAAATATCGTTTACAACTCCAAGGCCATACTCCTCCTTTCCTGTGCTCATTAAAAAGAAACAGATATAATCCTGCAAACATTCACACCAAGTGATTTACAGTAAATGATGATTAACATACGTATCTAATGATAAAATATACAAGTGATAGCATACACATACAGTTTTTCTTCCAATAGACGACTTGTATGCAGCTGTAGAGTTCCTGTAGTGTTGGTTTGGTTTGTCCATCACAGGTGGTGTCTGAATTTGTCGTGTTTTAACAAGAGGACAAGAAGAGTCTTTGTTATTGGTTAACGATGAATAAAGTAGATATCAAGAAGAAGAAGGGGATATGATATTGTTTTTTGTTTTTATTTTGTTCTAGGCCACACAGTGCTCCAAAGAGATGAACAAAGAGATTATTAACGACGGGGCATCTTGGACTATCATTAGCACTGACAAGGCTGAGTACACCTTTTATGAGGGTATGGGCCCCGTCCCCACGCCAGTCACACCTGTCCCTGTAGTTGAAAGCCTGCAGGTATGCATTCCAGTCTCAACGGTTCAAACTATTCCTACAATGCTTTATATCAGCACATACAGGAACGGTTATGTTTACACCCCATTTCTTACATTTTCTTTCTCTGTCTGCTTTTAGTTAAACGGCGGAGGAGATGTGGCAATGTTGGAGCTGACAGGACAGAACTTTACTCCTAACCTCAGAGTGTGGTTTGGAGACGTGGAAGCTGACACTATGTACAGGTAAGGATTGATACCTTTTGTTGAAAATGTGTTTGTTTTGTTTGATGACAGACATATTTGAACCTCCTCTGATCTGTCTATCCTCATAGATGTGGAGAGAGTGTCCTGTGTGTGGTGCCGGACATTTCTGCCTTCAGGGAGGGCTGGCGCTGGGTGAGACAGCCAGTTCAGGTCCCCGTCACGCTTGTGCGCAATGATGGAATCATCTACTCCACTGCCCTCACCTTTACCTACACCCCTGAACCAGGGCCGCGGCCTCACTGCAGTGCCGCCGGGGCGATCCTGAGGTCACACAGCACCTCCTCATCATCACCAGCATCATCGTCTTCACCATCATCCTCTTTGGGTGGACTCGGAGACGGCCAAGGCGCTTACAGCAGTAGTGACTCAGGCATGTCATCAGGAGGGTCAACCATGTCCTCGTTGTCATAGTGATACTTGAGTGTGGTGTACTCTTGCTTTGAATGTGTGCATAGACTTTCCAAAGAGGCTCCCGGACCCAAGAAGAATTGCACACAGACTCCTCAAAGAGCATCTGCCATCATCAGAGAAGCTTCAGCGAGACGAAGCTGGACTGAATCCTTTCTTTGGCTCCCTCTTGTGGCTGGTTATGGACAAGACAAAAAAAACCTTTCAGATCTGAAATGAACCGGCCTTCAGATTGGAACAGAACCACTTTTTAAAAAACTCTTTGGGGTCACAGTTATTTTCACTGATCTCTCTATCCACCCGAATCATGTTTTTACTAAGAACTTGATTTATCTGTGTGTAAGGGAAAAATGTGTTGTAAAAGTAAGATAGTTTTTATGGACCAAGGAATATTATTATATTATTTTATTCATATTATATTTTATAAGGTTTTACCATGGTACATTTTGACATTTTTGTCATGTTTTATGATACTGAGTAGATTCACTTTTCTTGCCAAATTGAATTTGTTACGTTGTTGCCTCAACAGGTTAGATAGGTTAATATAACCTTTAGTGTGTTTTTTTTATTGTCTGACTACAGCGTCTCTGCTTTTCTACTCTTCTGTCAAACTTCTCAAAAGTATCCTACATGCTGTAAAAATATTAAAAGACATGATCAGGCAACTGACAATTAAGACATATCTTCCAGCAGCTTTGGCTTAGCTGCTTTTTCAGTGTCCAAAAAAAAAACATTTAACTTTAAAAATGACCCTTTTTGATGAGTATGTAGGTATGTGTTGTTCACTATCTGTGTATTTCTGGAGACTGAGTATGAGTATGCTCTTAATCTACTGGGAGTGCTTACACTGAGAAATATCAAGAAATTCAGCCCCTCTTACGTAGCTCTGGGCACTGCAACTTTAAAATAATATAGTTATGTTGATTCAAAACATAATATCCCCATTATGGATGAGGACTGGGGAGGTCTCTTAAGGTATGTGCCTTTTGTGTTGAAGTAAAAGCTTTAACATTGTCTTTAGCTGTTGGCTATGCCATGATCAGGAGTGAATACAATCACTGTGACACTTGGTGAATATTTGCACAGATATAAAGTCCTTGTTTATTTTGCTTTTCATTCACCAGGTAACCTTAAAGGGGAAATTCAAACACTGCAAACCACTGAGTGATGACATTCTCAATTTTTAAGAACAGTGCCAGTTTTTCTTGAGTATCACCCATCTATCTTTTTTATTCATATTGCATGTGATGTGAATCGTTTTCAGGTCAACATCAGAGCATGTCATTGACAGGTTTTATGTCAGTAATGTCAATAATTTCTGTGTCAGGATCATAGTTTACAGTGCAGTAACACCTAACAATAGTTTGTTCAAACCCCGTGTTTAAAGTACCATGGTTATTCTCTATAATTTTTCAGGCTCTGTCATGCAGTGTGTACAGTTCTGGTGCGTCATACTTTGTTTACTTCAGACCGGCAGATTGCAAACGGATGAATCTTCCAACAAAAAGTGTTTCTGTCTGCAGAGGTGGAGGGATCCACTCTGTACTGTGCCTTACTTAAATGGTTATGGTCAATCTGAGCCATCATGTCTCATATATTATCAACAGGTCAAATGTAAGCTGACCTGTTAAATCAACCCCATCGTGTTTTCACATCGGCAGCTTTAAAAGCATTTTTGTTGCCCTTAGTCTCAGTGTCTCTACTGTCATCCTGCCTGTCGTTTCCCACTCGCTCTTCTCCGGTATGGTGACCCCGTCTATCTTTCCAGTCTGGTTTAAAGCTCTTAAGTTAATCTCTAAAGGTTATAAATAAAAGTTAAAGCCTAATGTGAGCTGTGGGAGTGTTTTGTGACATTTTTTTCCTTTCAGTTGGGTACTGGAGAGAACTTTGGCCTGTTTTCCTCCATTTCACTATCAATGAGTATTTCAGGATTATAGCCTTAGCATTTAATATGCACACATACCACATACTTGCTCAGATCCTCCCAGAACTTTTTGGATGCTTGCCACTTGGGCATGCTCCATAGGGTAGAGGTCAAATTTGCTTCTCTATTTTTAAACTGGAAGGCAAATTGCTAGAATGAAACCTGACACTTAGTCACTCTTCATGTGTGTATTTGTTTGCGTGTATGCATATGCAGTCCTTTAGTCTGCGTCTCTCACACTATTGACACATCTAAATTTATTTGAAGTAGGAGATAGTATACTGTTTTTCATTTTAGACTTTCTGTGGTAGCATATTGAAGAACTTGCAAGTCACGCATAGACACGATTTGGAGGCCAGTCAACAGGTGTACAAACAATTACGAGCTTGAAGATTTGTGAACAAGGAAACAACTGTCAGACCCAGACAGCCTGGCCACAACGTAACATATGACTCACTATTCCTGGCATGAATAGACCGTATACTTAGTGAAGAATGGACTTCAATTGATCCGATGGCTGTCCACCATTAGTTCTGGACATGCATCATGTTACCAGGAAGGATAGTTGTTGGTGTGGTACTTCTGTCAGTTTTGAGCATCAATATTATACATGATGGATTAGTAAGCATTTCCTTAAACAGCAAATGGAGGTCACTAAACCAGTGCTTTGCAAGAAGGGCAATGTTTTGCCTGCCTTTATGATGGTAGTGTTGAGTCAGGGAGGGGGTGCTCGGTTACCAAAGAGAGAGAGGGAGAGAGAGAGAGAGAGAGAGCGAGAGAGAGTGAGTCAGTTCCCAATAAGACCGTCACTTCTCGACGTCCCTGGTTGTTGGGAAAGTGGTGACAGATAAATCAGAGTACAGGATATGCTTGTTTATATAGAGAGCAAAAGAAGAGACCGGACTGGCTCCAGCTGGACTAGAGGGACACAGGAGCAGTTTTTCCCCTGAACAGGAACACTGACTATCCGTTTTATCATCATATGGGGTCTTTTCTGGCGCCTTGCAGGCATTTCCCAAGATCCTCTGAGCTTGTGGGTCTAACCCTGGATTTTATTCAATATGGATGAGCCTCTGGTGGTTTAATCTTTTCATCTGGCCTGACATGGATCTATCATTTTTCAGTCAAGTGATTTTACTGGAATACCACTTTTGAAGCTTTTATCTTTATTGAGTTTGTGTTTGGACGCTGCTGTGAAACAATTACAACAAACTTTTCTTCCGATTTTTCAAAACTTTTGTGCTTCCCAGCCCTGTTCAGGGCTGTCAATCCAGCAGCTCGACTATAATTTCTCAAGTGAATCATCAGTATCACATCTCGCCTTTGGCTGCACCCATTATAGCAACAGAGATCGCTTGACACTTTCACAGACTGACTCCAGTCTCCCTTAACAGGGGCTGGTGCGGCATAACTTCTTACTCCATCAGTATTCAAGAGTGTCTCAGTTCTGGACAATAGTGTTATCAACCATCTAAGATGCTTCCTTTGTCTCTCCTGCTGCTCCTTGTTTTCCCCGCTGCGCTCCTGGTGGCCGCGCAGGGAGCTGGGGACCTTCAGGGTTTCAGCTTTCCCGGAGGGGGTGCAGTTTACGACTCAGCAGGTAGGTCCACGCACGACTGCGAGGCTTCGAGCTGATAAAGGAAGGAAATCTTCAAATAGAGATGCTTGGCATTAGTAGGCTACACATCTGTATGTTGGCAAAGCAACTGTGTTCACATTTGGAGAAAATAATATAGGCCATGGGTGTCGTTGATCAGATCTGAAATGTATGATAATGACTGATACTGAACAATCTCAAAGCCACCTTTCCTTCATAAATCTGCTTTTTTGGGAAATGTTTTTGGGCTTTTTAGAATTACCGTCCTAAAACTTGAGGGCCCTCATAAAGGACTATAATTTTAATAATTTGACTAAAATATAAAGCTGCTGCTTTATCTGCTTTGTGTTGACCAAGTGGTTCAATCAGGTGAGCTCACCTGTGAAGAGGGTTAAACTCAGGTCAGATATGGAGGTTCTACAGGAGCACATCCACACAGTACTCTGCTGGACTATTGCTACTTGATAGGCTATTTGATAGGCTGAGAAGTCTATTGAGAAATCAAGTTGTCATGTCTTCGTCTGATGCACAGATACAGCCATCTCAGTGAGATGAGTTGATGAATGTGAATCATTTCATTGGTATGTCATCTGAAGAATACCCAGAAGTTAACTCGAGTTAATTCTTACCATCAAATATTTGTCAGCTATTACAAGAGTCTTACTTCAATTATCTTAAGTTTTTAAAAAGCCTCAGATTCAACAAATCATTCCAGTCCCTTTAATCCTCGAATTGGTATCCTTCCCACTTCATCCAAAAGAACCTTCTCCAAACACACGAGCAGTAAAGAGGCCTGGGTCCCAAGACTTACTTTTGGTTCTGCTGAGGCTGATTACAGTCAATAAAGAAATCAATGAGTTTAAAAATGCCACAGTATAGTAGACATTTTTTCTTCCAATCACATCACAGATAAGAACTAGCCATTGACCCTGACGTCACCTTTTCCCCAAGTTTTAACTCTTACATTGTAAAAGAGGACATGCAAGTGTCACTGAAGCTGGCTTTAATTGTGGCATTACTAGCAGACCCTTGACCCCCAGTCCCCGCAGCTCCTTAGAAGTCACAGAGACAAAAATGGGCTCTGACTCAGTATGACAGATGACAGGAATATGTGGATCATCTTGGCATAAATTAGTGACTGCTTGTAGTACCAAAGCCTAGATGACAGAAGGCGATCTAAAGCTTTATTATTACAACGGTTGTTTTTCCATGATTCCATATCAAGTGAATTTAACGCTCTCAGTGTCAGTAACAAGGTTGACATTTTAATGTTGTGGTTTTTGTTTTCTTAAATCGGTAAGAAGGGTTAGGTGTAAGCCAAGCAGCTACAGAGGTGGCTCTTTTTAGAAATAGTTTCCAAATTAATGCTCTGTCCACTCAAACCAAAAGTTCCTTAGCAGAGCTTGAAAATTAGGTTTGCTATTTATGAGAATTTTCAGACTGTTATCTGATACGTTTGCTGGTGTTATGCTTTAGTACACATAAACTATCGGAGCAGCAGCTAGAGAGTTTTATTCATGAAAAGTCAGATAAAATAGAATATATTACATGATTTCCTATACAAATAAAAGGATGGGATATATGTTATGGCTGTTACATTCATATTCAAACTTGTTGTGTTGTTAGTTTGTTGTCCATATAATCTTCAAGTATCAGATTACGATGCTTGTATTTTTATTGTCATTTAAAGAAGATGCAGTGTAGAGTGAATTATAAGCTGTATCAAAACTAATATATAGAGATGGAGTTCATCTTTCTTTACTTCATCAAAGTAGGGCAGTTTGAGTCTTAGTAACCAGAGTGGCAGGATCTTATAGAATTTCTGTCAGTACATACAGGGTAAATACTAACCCCAAAAATATAGTTCTTGACTCACAATACTTTTCTGTAAGGTTTGATACACAAGAGAGATAGAAAGAAGAGAATATTCAGCTGGATACAGAGAAAAACTACCCATTGAATCAAGTGAAAACATAATCTGTTCCCTTTGCTGCTAAAGTAAAGTACTGAGAGATTTAGATGATCTTTTCTCCTGCTTTTCAAAGAGCAGTGAACATACAACCCAGCACTTGATATTTAGGTCAGAGATAGTTGTGAAGTGTGAGTGAAATAGTGATTGGTATGACATTATTGCCGTCTTGTTTCATTTAGACCCTTGCATTGTGGTGTATCCCCCATGTATGAGTGAGGCTGACCGCTTTAGCCTGGAGGCCCTGCGGAGCATTCATCAGAAGATTGACGATGACCAGGATGGCGAGATAGAGGTGGAGGAGAGCGTAGAGGTAAAAAAAAAAAGCTTACATCTGAAGAGATATTTTTTTGTAATTTTTCGATGATGTACATCTTGTGAATGTTTATTTATTGCAATAAAGGAGACTGAAGGAGGGAAAAGCAATACAACAACAGGTGTACTGGCTGGCAGAGGAGTCTGGTGATACTAAGGATAGCAGCTGTATAACTTCGCTTTTGGCTCTGTGACAAAATTGGTTTGCGCTAACAGAATAGTGTAACACTGGTGACCTTTGTAGTCAAACTCAAGAATCCAGCTGTTCACAATGTTTTCTGAATGTAAGTTCCCCTTTTCCTTCAGCCTGAAAGCTAAAAACGTCTCAGAGGAAATCCACTGTTAATGCATTCTGCATATAAAACGTTAGTATTAAATACTTATGTATCTAACTATGCTGGTTTGTATTCATGAATTGCATCAAATGAATGGTCAACCAAGTGCACTGAATCGTCTCAAAATTAGCGTAATGTTGTTGGTGAAACAAGAATGTAAAAAAATAATACAAAAGTGGATTCATTTATCTGTAACTTTCTAACAGTTATCACAAATTATTTCTTAGCATGCTCCCCCTGTGTTTCAGTTTAATCCACAAATCATCTTGTGAATGACTCAAAACATAGTTATCATTACAGTAAAGTAAAGTAAAAAGTTTAAAGTATTTTCTTTCAGGAGCCTGTGTCAATAAATGTGTGTGACATTGCCATCAAATCCAGAATTCTTGAATACCTTCTCCCTCTAGAATGTAGTTCAGGGACACAGTATCCAGGGGCTCAGATTGCAGTTGCCATAGAGATATGAAGGGACGGGCTGGGGCTCATCAGTACATAGCCCCAAGATTCCTCCAGCCATCATATGAAGCTTCGGTTTACAGCCAAGGACACATTCCAAGACAGCAACAACACACTCACACACTCACACACAAACACACATAAGCAATCACTGAGGTTTGCAATACACACACACACATACTTCTGAGTGCCTTCGGGATAAATAAAGTCCCATAGCACCCACTCCTTTCTCCTTAGGTTAAATTCCAAGAACACAACACATCCCAACAACAACCCACTTTATTTCAAACTAGAAGGTTATCAGTCTGAGTCCAATGTTTGGAACTTGCTCTTAAAAACTGTATCTTAAGTTAAAAAAAAATACTGTTTTCGCTTCACTTCCCCACTCTCTACTGTCTCTTTATTTTACAGTTTATCATTGAGGACATGAAGCAGCAGCAGACCCACAAACATAGCCACCTGCACAGAGAAGACCAGCACATTACAGTCGAGGAGCTCTGGAGAGGCTGGAAGTCATCTGAAGGTACTGCTAGACCCAAAGAGTCAGTTTCCCTCTTTGAGCCTCTTTGTTGCGCCTCTAGGATATCTTTTTTTTATAGAGAGAACTGTACAACTTTCATAGCTCATTCAGCTGAAATTGTAAGAATTTCTATTACGGTTGTCCTATATCTGTGCTTTAGGTAGGGCCTTCCTCTTTCTGGGTTTAATTACAGCACTGGGTTGCACCAGCTATGCACAGGTTCAAACATAACTTAGATTGAACAAAATGTAAAACTTAGAGAGAGTTCAAATGCTTAGGTGTAGGTGTAGAGTAAAAAAAATGGTTGTCGGGGTGCATAATTTTGAAAGAAAGAAAAACTTTCTTCAGGAGCAGAGGGCCTTACCAGCTGCAACGTTTTCTCCATGATAATGTACATCAATTTAAAATATGTGCTTTGTTTCCCATGGAGATAACTACTGTACATCTGCACAATAATATTAATGTATGTTGTAGTTGACAAGTTTGCCACTTGATATCACTGTTATTTTACTCTATAGATAAGTTATCGCCATATAAAAAAACTTTGTCATATTTCACATGCTTTGAGTTTCTAGTAGTTAAATAATAGGCATTGATAACAGTTAACAGTAAATAATAATAATGCATCAGATTTCATATAGCGCTTTATCAGAGACCCTCAAAGCACTTTACATTGGATACATAATTCATTCGCTCACGCAGTCACACCTTGGTGGTGGTAAACTATCTTAATAGTCAAAGCTGCCCTGGGGCAGACTGACAGAAATGTGGCTGCCAGTTTGCGCCTATGGCCTCTGCAACCACCACCACACAACACTCACAATCATACACCAGTGGAGGACACACTGGGAGCAAGGTGGGTTGAGTGTCTTGCCCAAGGACACAACAACTGACTTGGAATAGGGGGGAATTGAACCACTAATCTTCCGGTTATTGGACAACCACTCTACCTCCTGAGCTACTGCAGCCCAGTTAGTGCAGACATGAGCCTGCATAGAGGCAATCAGGGGCAGAACTAAAACCAACACCCTGTTGAGAAAAGAAGGTTTCACTAATGGCCGACTGAAGTATAACGATATTTGTGTTAGTTTTAACCAGTCAGGATGAGCCTTATGCCTACATGGTGCAACCAAACGATGGGAAAACTGAAGATACAGCTCAAAACTGGTGCCCTTTCACTGTCACTGCTCTAAACTGGTGCCCTTTCGGTCTGCCACAGTTGATGAGTATCAGGCGGGGAGAGGAAAAGAGAAAGAGTGTGTTGTTTAACTAAATCTAAAACCTCCCTCTTCGATCTTCCAGTCCATAACTGGACTCAAGATGACGTGCTCCGCTGGCTGAAAGAGTTTGTCGAGCTGCCACAGTATGAGAGGAACTTCAAAGATTTCAAGGTCAATGGAAACACGCTTCCCAGGTGAGAATATCCAGTAACAATGATGTCATCATGTAAGACTTGCTTACTTGTGTGCTGTAGTCCAAGTGGGTCACTGTTAAAACGAGTCAGTTGTTGTTAATGGTTGTATCAGCATGCTGAGCTGCTTATGATATCTGTGTGCAGGATTGCGGCTAATGAGCCTTCATTCCTGAGTGGACATCTGAGGGTTCAGGACCAGAGGGACAAGCAGAAGCTGAACATTAAAGCTCTGGATGTTGTTCTGTTTGGACCACCCACACGTAAGAACAAGTCTTTATCCTCCTCTTTCTGTTTATGTTTGTGTCAGTGTACCAACTCCCCCAACCCACCACAATTTTCCAGTATTGGTTAAACAACTACTGGCATGTGCCCAGAGCTACCCTAATGAGCAGCATTCTAAAGCAACATTATCAGTTCCCTGAAAAGAAAACTCTAAGAGAAGTGATTTTTGCAACTTTTTACGATGAGCTTCAGGAGAGGTACCAAGAAGGCATCCCGATTAAATGTCAAAAACGCTTCAACCTTGAACTGTCAATGTGAAGAACAGATGCCTTTGCTTCAGCCTCCCTCTCAATGTCAACCCCTGACCTTAACTCCAGGTTACTGAGGTTAACAGAGATTTGGCTCTTTGTATCAGCGAAGTCATTGTTTTGCTCAGTGCCCAAAGATCATTTTAATAATTGATGGTAAAAGTTTAGAGAACCAGGAGCTTTACCTTTTTTGATCAACCACTTTTTCACCACAATGGTTTGAAGCAATGCCTTTATTTCATGTGACCCCGCATCAACAAATCCGTCTATGTTACGATCCGTTTCTCCTAAATTCATGATCATTGTCTCTATGCCTGAACTCCTAAGATAGTCACTCACTCCACAGACAACCTTTAGAGCTGCACAAACTTTATACTTCCCTCCCACAGCTGGGCCTTGAAAACCACAAACTGAGTTAGTGACACTCAACACTCCTGGGATCATGTTTGACTTTGGGCTGGATACGGATATGGTGCTGGTGGAATACCATATCCTCCCTGTACCACCCACCTACTTGAAAGTCGCCTTTCCCCATGTGGAGAGAACGGGAGATGCATCTCCATCAGTTGGATCCTGATTTCTACTTTATTGTGTTAATAGATGCTCAGGAGTTGCATTTGGCCAAAATAATGTTTTCAATTGAGCCAATGTCTTAGCAGTCCAAGTGTGCCCTGTAAACAGATGCTGTAGTTGTTGTCACAGCAACCACAGTGGCATTTTTGTGCAAAATACCCCAAAAATATAACTTAAAAAGAAATTAATTTGCAACTTGTTGTATTTTGCCCCAATGCTGCAAACTTTATCATTTTCCATGGCAACTTCCATGATTTATCTCTAACTCATTCCTCCATAGGTCCCCCTCATAACTACATGAAGGACCTGTTGCTAATTGTGTCAGTGGTGATGGGAGTCGGAGGCTGCTGGTTTGCCCAGGCCCAGAACAAAGCCAGCAAAATCCACATTGCGAGGATGATGAAAGATTTGGAAAGTCTGCAGAGGGCTGAACTGAGTCTTATCGAGCTGCAAGAACAGTGAGTATTCACAATTTAGGGACTCTTTTATTTTTACACATTATTCTGTATTCTTTTTGTTTTATTACAAACCCCAAGTTGGGACGTTGTGTAAAATGTGACTTAAAACAGAATACAATGATTTGCAAATCCCTTTTGATCTATACTCTACAAAGACTATGCACTACAAAGACAAGATATGTAATGTTCAAACTGATATACGTCATTGTTTTTTTTGTGAATTTTCGCTCATTTTAAATTGGATGCCTGCAACATGTTCCAAAAAAGCTGGGAAAAAAGCATGTTTACCAACGTGTTACATCACCTGTCCTTTTAACAACACGCCATAAGTGTTTGAGAACTGAGGTCACTAATTGTAGGAGTTTCGTAGGTGGAACTCTTTCGTATTCTTGCTTGATGTACCGCCACAGTTGCTCAACAGTCAGGGTTCTCCACTGTACTCCAATTTTTGCTTGCAGAATTTGGTTTGGCATTGTCTTGCTGGAATAAGCAGAGACGTCCCCAAAAAAGACATGGCTCGGTTGGCAGCTTATGTTGCTCCAAAACCATGAAGCAATGAAGCCTTCACAGATAAGATAGTTAGCTATATCATGGGCTCCTACAAACCACAATACCATCACAGATGCTGGCTTTTGAACTTTGCGCTGATAACAATCTTAATGGTCCTCTTCTTCTTTAGCCCAGAGGACACCATGAATTCTAAAAAAGAATTCAAATGAGGACTCATCAGATCTCACCTCAAATATTTCACTTTCTCAGGCTGGAGCGAGCCCAGGAGGAAAAGCGTAATGTTGCAGAGGAGAAACAGAACCTGGAGGAGAAGATGAGGGATGAGATCATGGGGGCACAGGAGGAGGCTCATCGCCTACACCAGCTGAGACAAGGAGCTGTCAGCGAGCTCAGCCGCCTTCGATATGCGGAGGAAGAGCTAGAGCAGGTAGATAATGTAAACAGTGTATAAAGAAAACACAGCCTCACAAATGCTGTGCATGCTTGGAAATAGATCTAGATGTTAAAAGGATTTCAAGGGCATGATTAAAGTTTGAAGTATAATAACTCTTCAACATACTGATCTCTTACTCTGATTAGGTCCTTGGAGCACTTAAGCAAGCAGAAAAGGATATGAATGCTAGCTGGACGGCCTCAGAGGCACTTCAGCAGTGGCTGCAGCTGACCCATGAGGTGGAGGTTCAGTACTACAATGTCAAGAAGCAGAGTGCAGAACTACAGCTTGCTACTGCCAAAGAAGAGGTAATTAATGCAGGACAAGACACATGACGATACCAAAGCAGAAGGGTTTGAATTTTGTAACAAATTATATTCCTGTCAATTTACCTGCACCTACTCTCTTTTGTAGGCAGAGAAGATTAAGAAAAAGAGAAGCTCTGTGCTTGGGACCCTTCATGTGGCCCACAGCTCATCTCTGGACCAAGTAGACCAAAAGATCCTGGAGGCTAAGTGAGTACCAAAATAATCTGCATGGCATTTGCGTGTCACAGAAAAGATAGAACATAAGTCACAAAGATTTTTGTGTCCCCCCGAAGGAACGCCTTGTCGGAGGTAACAGCCTGTCTACGAGAGCGCCTTCATCGATGGCAGCAAATTGAGCGTATCTGTGGCTTCCCCATCATCAGGAATCCCGGCCTCGCAAACCTCACAGCTCAACTCTACTCAGATTCAGCCGCTCTTGGCTTTCCCAGAGCACAACAATCTTGTTCATGCCATAGCTCTATTCACGGATCTATAGAGGATCTATTGGAAGATCCCACTTCTCCAATGATACCACAGATGGCAGGTATGTTTTCTGTACCGTTGATAACAATTGGTTCCCCTTGTCAGTGGCATAGGATCAACTAAATATTTGTATTTAAAAAGACATACAGGATACTTTCTCTTGTATCCATTACTGGAAACATCTTTAATTTGCGTTGTGTTGCACTGCACATCAAAAGTTTTTCTTTCCATGTTTTACCAGCCTGTATGTGAAGGCTGTGCACATCAAATTATATATACCATCAGTCAGTGACAAAGGGTCAATTTGGCAATGTTTTCATAAAATGGAAAAACTAAACTCAACTGTGATCTTATGTTTCAGACTTAACATCAATTGCACTCCATTACAAGGACAATATATTTTCAATTCAGTTAAAATCATTCTGATTGAAAGCTTGCTGTTAGTGTTTATGGTATGTAATCTGATCCAGTCTGGTGTTTAAATACACTTACAATTCAATCAGAACAGCTATGTGACATGCTCAAAAGAGACAGAAGCTAATACAGCGGATGTCATAGCGATTTCTATGGGAATAAACACATTTCTAATGAAAAAGAGGCTTCAGTCCCCCCTCTTATTTTTGGCGATCGGAAAAGTACTCCATTTGAGCATTATCTAAACAAGAGCAGAGCTCACAATTAAAGGTATGCACCATATCTGTCAGTTTATAATTTAAATATATGTTTAACCTAAGTTGTTGAGCAGGGGTTAAAGGTACATCATCTCAATTAAAAAAACTGGGTAAATTCCTTGTCCTGTAATGCCTGAGCTAGCTTTTTTGCTTGGATAGATGTGTATTCAAACCATTTAAGTGGTTCGCTTAGTCAGAGGAGCTGAATGTCAGTAAGAACTGCAGGTAGTCCTTAAGCTATCATAATGCTTGTTAAACTTTTTTCTGAAATGCTTAGAGAAAAATGCCCCATTCCGTTTCTAGTGCTGCCAGCTGTGACCAAGGATACTTACACAAATGCATTTGTTTGCTGTGTGTGGGATCACTGCTTTTGTTAACTTGTTAATCTTTGACTCTTCTTCTGTTCCAGCCCCGGCTCTTAAGCGCTCTCCTCGAACACAAGGATCCAGCATATGTCGGTCACGTCGTCCAGGTGTCATCACTCAGCCAGCAGCCACCATGATCTCTCCAGACCCTGACCTTCTTATCCCCATCCGAGCCCCTTATCCCTGCCTTGAAGAGGAACAAGGACTCTTTCTCAAGACTCTCAAGAAACAGTAAGTCTACCTGCACACAGATAACTCATGAAGGACCACAGTGGTTTTGCTTTTTCTTTTATCCTCCTTTCTTTCTCTTTGTTCTCTCCGACAGAGACTCTGAAGAGAAATTTTCAGACACAGAGTATATTACTTCACCTCCGCTGAGCAAAATATTCCCCGGCCAAGCTGTTGACAGTCCTCCACAGAAGCTTTACCATGATGACGCTGAGCTGCCTTTGGATACCTCCATTATAAAGACTCTGACCAAAGAAGCAGAAGCTGTCGTAGAATCTCCAATTCGTAAAATGTACATGGAAGAGCTTGAAGCTTCTGTTGACGTTTCTAGCAGGAAGATGGGGAAAGACCAAGTGATGGATACTCCTTTGGAAGCACTCGCATTTATAAAGCCACAAGATGAGTCTTCTATGGAGGCTGCACCCAGAAAGATATCCAGAGAGTGGTGTGAAATTCCTCTGAATGTTTCAGTCAGAAAGTGCTTTTCCAGTGACTTGGATGCAGAATTTCCAACCAGGAAAGTAGAGAGAGAAACTGTTGGGGACTTCAAGGATCCTGCCTCGAGAAGTGTTTACCGAGAAAGAAATGATTTACCTATGGATGTGAGAAAGATTATCTGGAATGAAGTGGAGGGGAAAACAGATTTAGGACAGAGGAAAATATCAAGGGATATGATGGGGGCTTCGATTGACACTGTTTCAAGAAAGATGATGCGAGATGACGTTGACTTTCCATTCGAGTCAGTATCTAGAAGGAGTACTAAAGATTCAATGGGAATGTCCATGGACTCAGGCTCCAGAAAACTGACAAGAAGTAGAGCCGAAAGCCAGCTTGATTCCTCTGCAAGAGCTTTGGCAGTGGACAACATAGTTGAAGCGACTAGAGTACCATCGAGAAAGATATCCAGAGAAGAGCTGGAGGAGTACAGTGCAGACATTCCTTCTGTGAAGACGTTGAACAGGGAGAAATTTGAATTACTCACTGATACCTCATCTCCAACAGAGAAGCAAGAGTATGGTTTGGAATCATCAACAAATAGAAGGATACTGAGAGATGAACTTGACTTGTCTGCTGGTTCCCTCAGAAGGAGAATACCAAGACTGATAAGAGAAGACAGTGACAGCTCCACAGACAACCCCTCAGGAAAAGTTTTCCGGGAAAGAGTTGATGTCTTCGTTGAGATACCAAGACAACCCATAATGAGAGAGGACTTGGACGAGGCATCTGAATTAAGTTCAACCCCGGGCTCCGTTGGACAGCCAGACCTCATGGTAACCTCCCAGGTGCCGTGGCAGTCATCATCAGACCTTTACACTGTTGGCCCATTAAGTAAGCTTGTTTATGATGGAATCCTTGAGAAATCCTGCAGCTCCATGTCTTCTATCCCAGCCGGCCTTTCAGCTTCAACACCTAATCTGCCCCAGAGTAGGCTGCTAGCAGAAGAACCACCACCACTACCTGAAACAACAATTGCTCCTCCGGTTACTGCAACTCGAGATGAAAAACACAAAGAAAAGGAAAAGAGCAAGAAATCTATGAAGCTTAAAAATCTTTTTAAAAAGAAGAATGATTCAAGTCCAGGGAAGGTTCAGAGTGGTCTTCAGAAACTCTGATAGCTGCCTTTTTTTCTTTTTGTAAAGATTTAATTTGACCTACATTTTGTAAATTGGTATTTACTTGCTCTGAACTGTGCAAACAAGGGTATTTTGGCTTCAATATTAGGTGCAGTCAGGATCAGTAGAGGTGTATCGCTGTTTTGAAGCAGCAGGAAGCGACTTGCCAAGAAAAACCTGATCTTACGTCTGGCTCACTATTTTCCTGCTATTTAAAGGGTGCTTTATTTAGACGGTTTGAGGCACATACACAGGCTTGTTCACAACACGTGTTTCTGTGGTACAGACACACAGGGTCAGGCAGCAGTGCTCCCACCCTTCAGTTAAATATCAGTGCTGTATCTGGTATTCATTCAAGAGGAGTTGTTGGCTGAGACAGACGTCCCATGTCTCCTGACATCAGTATGCTTCTCCACACATTGTGTCGCTGTTATTTGGGTGCCAGAAGACAAGGACAAACTCACTTCTCACCCTTGCTGAGCCTGCTTCACCAGTTAAGCCCTTCTTATGACAAATGCCCCAGCCTGGGACAGGGGCACTATGAGAGGAGAGAAGTAGATGGACAGGAGTAACTTGAGTCTGGTCTGTTAATAACTGCAACATGTGTCTTTGTAAGCACAATCAGAGAAGACATCGGCCAGATCAGCTGGATCCACATTCATCCTAAAACACACTTCTGAACTATCAAGAGACTTGAAACATCTCCCTTCGCACCTTGTGCCTTACTTTGAGCCCAGGTTGTGCTCTATTTCATAAGCAAAAGAGCGGAAGACATCCCTAAATGCACTGTGCAGTTGGCTGAAGGTCATTGTGTTATAGTTTGATAAAATAGGGCTGAACGTGTTTGAGAGTTTGATAGTTTTTACATAAATTATTTTCTATTCAAAGCTGCTTTTCTTTATCAGCAAGTCTTACGCAGACATGTGGTTGATACCAAACGTTATTTTTGATTAAGTTTTCTTGAAGTTTTGCCTATTTTTGAAACTTGAGTTGGTGTTCAATGAAGCATATGTTTTTATAAGTGAGATCATTTAAAACACAGTAAACATGATTCGTCAATATGCCTCTAAAGATAAAATAAGGGTACTAAATATTTTTGCAATTGTAAGAGCACTTTGGATCAGTTAACACAACAGATTTCTGGATTCATACTTTTCCTGTATTCCTCTCATTGGTTAGAAGTTGTTCGCAATCCATTTGGTAAAAAAGCATTAAAGACATGTAGTTTGTATTTCATTGCAATAATAGGGTTCTTTGAGTAAGAAATCAACTCAGGTACACAGTCCTACAACAGATCCACTATCAAGTTTTGGAGATTGTGAAATTTGTTGATGATAGTCTCAGTCAGGATGTTTAAAATTCACGTTCAACAATTGTTGCTTATCTTAAGAGTAATTGTTACTCAGATTGATTTGATGTAAAACCAAGCTCTGTGAGGGTTGAAATACACTTTTAAGATGTTGTTTGCCTGTAAAATATTTAATCAGGCCCAAAAAGTTTTTATAGTATGGTTGTCCATTCTGGGATAATTAAAGATTCTTGCTGCTTTTTATTGTTTACTGGGGTCACATATTGTAGTGTTGTTTTCATGAGGTGCTGCTAACTTGCTTACTATCAAGTAACATACACCCCCATATTTTATAAATTGATTGGGCTTAGAAAACTATCTGTACTAATCCTGATCCTGTGGGTCGACATGGAATAGCAGAAGTTTTATCTAAATTTTTTCTTGCTTTAATTATAGATCCTCTTGAACACTCTCCACAAAGTTTATTTTAAAACTGAGTAAATTGAAATGCATACAGCAAATGTTTGTATTATTGTTGCTCATTGAGGATTTGTGTTTCTTTAGTTGTTTACGGACAGAAGATCAGTTATTGAATTGTTATTTTAAATTCACATGGTTCATAAATAAAAGTTTTAATAATTTAGAACTGCTTATTTAAATAAAATGTTTCTTGGCCTTTTCTTGTCTTATTATAAAGTGAGGGGACTTCATAAATAAAAATGATCTTAGACAAATTACATGCAGGCAATTTCCAATGCTTTTGAAATTTGATGATTTATTCACAACTGCTTTTAGACTAGCACTTGGGGAGGCAAATCTGGTGGCACCCCTCTGGGCACACCCCTGATTGGTAGCACATATATGTCCGGTGTTTTGTTGATCAATAATAATAGGAATATGAATAACAATAAAAACAAAATAAGCTTCTCAAAGACAATATGCATCAAAGCAATATGACAGTATTTCTTGATTTCTTGGGGAAAAAAATGCATCACAGTGTGGAAACAGGAATGTCTTGTTTTATAATCTGTCCAAGATAGAGAAAACAAGAATGAACTAAATTCTTTTGATGAGAATGCACATGAGAATATATAATGTCTAACAGTTCCCCATTAATTTGCCCTTATGCACACCTATAAACTAGATTTAGTGCTTTAAATGATGATTAAAAAAGCATCTTTTTTGTGGTGTATAAACAAAGAAGCTTTTAATATCAGTCAATAGCCGTTAGTTATTGATGACATTTAGTAATATAACAATATCACTGTATTTTGTTATGTCTATGTAGTCAGCATTTTAATTTTTTTTAGGGCCCGCTCTTTCTGACTTTAAACAAAGCCATTCTTCGCCTCCCCCAACCTGATTGGTTCTGAGGCAGACGCTGCTCCTTAGTGCTGATTGGTTGTGAGGCAGACGCTGCTCCTTAGTGCTGATTGGTTGTGAGGCAGACGCTGCTCCCTCATGTCGTGAGGCACGCTCACGAATAACGTTCACGAGCCCAACAAAAGTTAGCATGCTACAATATCGGACAGTAGAAACCAACAAGGAAGTACAAAAACTGTCTAAATCCGCCTTTGGCCACGACCGCCAACACAAGCAAGAAAACGAAGTAAATACCGGAGACTCTGGCGGAGTAACAGGCGCTAAAAACGAAGGTAGACCACCTGGAGGTAGCCCACCCGGCGCTAAAAACGAAGGTAGACCACCCGGACAAGAGCTAAAAAGCTGGGCAACATAGCATAGACGATGGGGGACGCCTCCAGATCTTACGGACACTGTAACCTTTCTGCTGGACAGGTAAATTGCTTTAACAAAGCTAAGTGTCTGTAACAGAAGTGTTTCTTGTCAGATGGGACCTCCTGCGTATTGTAGCACCGCTGCTTAACTACTTACCTCGGGTCCTAAAGGCAGGATTTTCTTGATATGATGGTAGGGGAAGGTCACGCCCTCCTTCGCCTCAGATTGGCTAGAAGTGTTGGCCTCCGATTAGGGTTAGGAGATTGAGAACTGTGATAATGTTCTGTAAGGTTCTATTCGATGTACAGAGCCGACAACCCGTGCTCGATTTGGGTGTGTGATGACGTTGCACAGCCAATCAGAAGGGAAGGAGGCGGGACCTTCCTCTACCATCCAACGAAAAAAACATTGCGTCCTGGAGTGTGTCACTTTATACTCGTTGTAGAAGTCCTGCAACCATTGTGTTTGCTGGTCTGTTGACATCTACAGTACCACCAATGCTGTTTACCTCCCATTGGGAGAGGTAGTGTTTACATTCAAGATTTCTCCCAAAAACTGGCACCTCCTCAGATCCTGCCTACCCCACCTTAATTTCCTTTTCCATTTTAGACACATCATTTCATTTTCAAAACAATTATTTATGATAATATTATGCAGTCTGTGAAGTGTTAAGTCCTCATCAGGCCATGGGAACATTTTCCATTTGCTTTTAAATTGGTCATTTTCATAAGGCACCAAAGAAGACAGAGTGAAGGAGAAAACTTTTTGACCCAATATCTGAATCTAAGTTGATTAATTAATGTTTCACGTCAGTTTAGCCTTTGAGTCTGTTTCTGTGCTAATATTGTATTCTTTAAACAAAAAAAGTAAATCATGTCTTTACATTAGTATAGAGCAGTCTGGTCATCACTCATGGTTTCAAATAACTCTCACTATAACATTTGAGTTCAGCAGCCTGTGTTAATGAAGAAAAAGGCTAAATCATTAAATATCTTGGGACTGTGAGGGATAATCTTGGATCAAACATCAGGTCTACCCTGTTCCCATCATGTCCACTAGAGGGCGAAGGTGTTCAGCTGCCATTCACAACAGAAAGCGAGTCAGTGTTGTTGTGCACCATGTAGACAACAAGCAATAACTTTAAAAGTCAACTTATTTGACTCTAAGATGGTTGACTGAGGAGACAGTGTGAAATAAATATGAATAATAATTTGAAGACAGAGTCATACACCAAGGACATTCAGCTTAAGCCCTCCTGCATGTCTGTGTGGTGTGAGGCCCTTTTTGTGTGTCAGGGTTGGTTTCCTGTTGCTCATACAACTGTGTGCTTTAGACGTTACTTTTACTTTATACTCAAAATCTCTGAAAAAAAAAAAAACTGATGACGTATATCTGTATTTAAAGATAGCACACAATTAAACAAATGTGTCAGAAAAACACAACTTTAGAGAGTTTTTTCACAGTAATTCACTTTGGTGATGTTTGAACAGTCATTATTCTCTTTTTTAACACCCTGTTTGTGTATATTTTGAGAAAGTGTATGTCCCTCACAACTCGTACAATATCAAAAAGATGAAATGTTTAAATTTTGTTTGAGTGAATCTTTTATTAATCTCATAAAGACATGACTTGACCTAAGATCCTTTGGTACAAAAATTTCCACAACACACTCAAACAAACAGGGACCCTTTGTATAATCATTTTAAGACATCTTATTTTTCCAACATGCCTAGAATGTTAGCAGGGATGAAATATTAACAGAAACAAAACTGATGCTAGAGAGATGTGTCATGCTTTATACAAAAATTAACACAGTCAAGGCAGACATGAAAGATTTAATGAAACCAAATAGATCAAGTGGCAGAACAGAAGATCTTAATCAACAAATTCTGAAGTCAAAAAATATCAAACAACAAAAAAATCCAATAAAAACAATGTTAGGGAGGTAATGAGAAACACAAAGAAATACAGGAGATCAATACAAATACAGATGTAAGAACAAGGCACAACAATGGGGAGCAATCAAAGTGAAGGCAAAAACACGAGAAGTTAAACTACGCCTGATGCAGTCAAAGAAAATACTACTACAAGAAAAGAGGAAAAAATTGAATCATTACATGTACATGTTTAAAATAGCAAAAATTGGGATATATTGTTATCTAGACGTATAATAACTACTAAGGTTTACTACTTAAAAATGAGATCAGCTTTTGTCAGCGAGGATTTTGGTGAGCGAGGAAGTTGTGAGCTAAAATTATCTGCGACTTGTTTGTTGCCCAGAAATTCTGTAAGTGGGAGCTCTTTGTCCTAAACGTGACATTGTGTTGTCTTTGCTGATCTTGTCTGGTACATAATTTAATTTGACAAACTATTACTCACCCTGAATTTTTGCAGTCATAGATATTGTTTTTTTTTTCAGGTCGCTGTCAGTCCTCTGCTCTGACACCAACTTCCTTGCAGTAATAACAAAAATTGCAAAATTGGTCATAAAAAGAACAGCTTTAAACTTTAACCTGTTTCATGACCAGCCATAAACTCCTCACATAGAAAAATGAGTAAATGGAGTAAATATGCTGCTACGGGAATCATCTGCTGATCACTGGTTTGTTTCTCCATCCTGAAGTCGAAACACAACTCGTGTAAGACACAAATCTTCTTCCTGTGGAAAATGTGACTTTTTTTATTTTGAATTTAAGGCTAATATTTGATATTGTAATCATTAAGATAAACACAATGAAGAAAAGGTGAAGAATAAAAAGATGAAGATTTCATTAAGGTCATTACCTGATCTTGACTCATCCTAATCTTGCTGTCGGGTCGTCCCACGAGATTTTGAGGCCCTAAAATAAATTAATACAACATTGTTAAGTACCAGCAAACTGTAAAGGGTACATTTATACGAGGAAATATGATCGGGCAGTTGAAGTGATGGTTGTAGAGCAAGAGAAAAAAAGCAAAAATAAACTGAGAAACAACAGATACCTGGTCTTTCAGAGAAATGATAAACCAAAATCAACACGATGAAGGTGGAGAGAATAGTTCCGACAGGAGTGAACATCATCATCCAGGACGTCATGGGCATACCACTGATACTTTCAATACTCTCTCGCTCTCTTTCGATTTCTGGTCCTAAAAACAATGAAATGTCCTTCAAATATCTGCATCACCACAATTATGGAGCAGTTTTAAAGAGATTATTTTTCCTGTTCCTCAATTAAAATTCCATATCAGAATACAGAAACAACCATTGATAACAAACTGCATTTTTGATTAAACCATCTCTCTTTGCCATTATTCAAAGGTGATTAATCAAAAAATTATCTTATGACACTTATAGTCAGGCTATGATGATGTGATCCACTGCACAGAGATGGATTGTGAGGTGTTGTGCTTTAAAATGTGCTGCTACAGTCATGGCAAAGAGAGGAGAAAATAAGTTATTTTACAAGATCCTTTTAGTAAAGGGTGGGGGTGTCTGGATTCAGGATTCAGTCCATGACACAAATCCTTGAGCAGATCTGCACTGTGTTATTTGTTATACGGCCTCTGGTTATTTATAATTATTTTCATGATTAACTTTGTTGAAACCACAATCAAACTCTGCTCTGAAGCGACACTTGTTTATTCAGGCTTTTGGTATTTAGTAAGGTTTTTTGTAGTGTGTTGTTAAGCGCTTTGGGTATCTTGAAAGGCGCTATACAAATGTAAGATATTATTATTATTATTATTATTATTATTATTATTAAATGATGCATACTTACTGAATACGATCTTTGTGACATTGCCATAGCTGTAAACATCTCTGTGAAGGATAAAGTCTTTATCCTCTGTTTTGTCTATTGCTTTTGTTACCACTATTTTGTCAACTTTTAGAGTTTCAGTTCCACAGTAGTAGAAACCTTCATCTGACACAGTGATGTTCTGGATTAGCAGGTCATAGGATACAGAGGACTTGTTCCTCACAAAGTGGAAATTAAGAGGGAGAGGTTTCATCCATTGATTATGACGCCACGTTTTTAGGACCAGAGGAGGCTGGGTCTTATGAGAGCAGTTTCTGTACCAGACTATGTAAACTCCCGTTGATATTTTGCAGTCACAGTAGAGAGTGATGTTTTCTCCTGGTCTGGCTGTCACCTCTAACACTGATCCACGGACCAAGTTGTGACCCAAGAAAATGACAACTGGAATGCAAACACAAAGAATGGTTCAAGATGGGGATACTGTTTGAAAAGTCATATTTTACTGCAGGAGGGTTTCTGCTAAAACAATAATCAAATTATTCAAAGTGTTTATGAAAATAATAATTACCTGAGAAAATGACCGAAACAATGCGCAGCCCCTCCATGAGTGACGGTGTAGAAGATGAAAAGCAAGTCTCACAGATACCACACTATCAGGGTCTTTTCAATGAAAGGAAGCATACGCGCTGATTGGCCAGTCGAGTGGAGCATTTTCTATGTGGTTTTTATTTCATCTGTGACATTTCTGACTTTGATGCCCCTCCCTTAGCAACAATCAAAAGAGGTGTTGTCTTTCATAGCTAAGCTGACAATACTTTTCTTATATTCCAGATTTTAAGGGCAAAACAGTATTTTTGTTCTGGGTTATCTTAAACTTATCTGAAATTCTGATAGAATTCAGAAGTACATCAATTTTACTGTAGCATCTAAGAAATTACAGTTCTGAAAATGGCTTTGCAGTGTCTTTACAGGATGAAAATATAATGTGTTATTGAAAGCTGTGATTTTGTGTCTAAAATAACTGCTGCTGATTAGAAAGACAAAACAAAAAAAAAAAGGTTTGAGTAGTTTTTGTAGCCAGGTGTGCTGTAAACTGAAGTTTCTCAAGTGTCTATTTAAAGCTGGCTCCAAAATGCCTTTCTGAACGTAGATGTTCACAGCATGGGTTCAAATCAAAAACAGTTTGGGTTCAAGTTTTCCAACATTACGTTTGAGATTGAGTTTAGTTTAATTAATTTCTTTGGTGTTATCTTGTTTTATTTTTTCAATAGTCCATTGCAGGCTGGTCATAGCACAAAAGAGCGTAACTTATACTGAGCACAATATAGATTTAAAATGAAATTCAACATCTGTCTGAACACAATAGTGTGCACAAACAGCATCAGAAATACAATAATCTGCAGCTTGGGTACGCCTGCATGGCCAAGTATATTAGAGAGCCGTTTTGGTCAGTGTGGGTTTCCTTTTGCTCAGACTATAAGAGGTGTTGGTGGTTACTTTTTCTTTGCACAAATGGAACTTGTGAAAACAATTTGCATGTTTGTACAATAAAAAAAAAACCAAAAACAGGATTGTTAACAAAATAAAACAGATGCCTCAGACTACAGACCATCATTCTACATTAATCACTTTGGTGATCTTTACATGGTTACTCAATGGTCATCAAAGATTTTTAGCATCTACATGCAAATTTAGCTTTTTCTCAACATGGTCTGCCTCTTGAGGATTAAAGTTTCAACCCATTTTGCTCAGCTCCAGTTGATGATACGCATTACAGCTGTTTGTGAATCTATATTCTTGTAAAAATTCAAGATTAATTTCACAAACTGTGAGTGTAAATCTAAAACTATTTAAACTACTTGCCCTGGTTTCTTACAAAATGGCATCACAAAGTGGAAATCTCTCTCATCTTGCCAATAACATAACTGAGTTCAATACATAACCCCTTAAGAAGTCCCTTAAATCTCTTCTTTAATTAACCAAAAATGTTGAACAGCTAAGGGGAAGAGTGGAGCCTTTTGCACCCTTTGGAGACATGATTTTATGAGCACACAGCTTATAAATGACAGAGCAGAATCACATCATGTGCTCCTAACTTAGTCATTTTTTCTGGCTGCAGAACATAGATCATATTCACAGGTTCCTCAGTTATAGTATTTCTAGAGTTGAGGAGTTTGTTCCAGGTCTGAAGCATTTTAACAAGCAATAAATTATAACGCTAAAACCAAACAGAGGGTGTCATGTGTTTTACTTTCTAAAACTAAGATGCATCCTTATACATTAACAGAAACAGAAAGTAACGCAACCGACTGTTCAAACACAAATGGAGGGGGAAAAAATGTGTTTACAAATTACTTATGAAAGTTATTCACATTAAACATATCATTCATTTTCATTTCTACAAAACTTTACTCCAAATCAATGTAAGGAGGAATGTGCTGGCAGGGATCGTCTGCTGTTTACTGTTGTGTCTGTCCATCCTGAAGCTGGAACACAACCCGTGTTAGATACAAATCTTCATCCTGTGAGACAATTTGACATTTCTTAATCTTAATGATCATCATAATGCTTCAACTGTTGTATGTCATGAGACTTGATTCTACATTCATTAAAGGAGACCTATTAACCTATTGTGTCGATCCATACATATAATTTTACAATGTTAAATGTCCACATTAAACCTCAGCAAAGTTCCATAACATGAGATATCAGCATCAGAATATTTTAATTATTGTTGGGGGAAGTTTGGTCATTACATTTGCTTTTGAAAGTGCAAATATTAATAGAATAAAATATAAAGTAGGAATGAAATAAGAATAAATGAGACATTGCAATAGTTAGAACAAAGTGTAGATTATTAGATATAAAAGTGTTTACTAAGTACAGTATTTAAAGACCCACTCCTATGAAAATCATGTTTTTCTTGTTGGCTACATGTTCATATGGCATTTTTCTGACGCTACAGGACATATCATGAGGAACATAAGTGCAAAATTGCATTTCTGAGTATTTCTGCATTCAAATCGCTGTGAATCTCTGGCAGACCCAAACAACAGGATCATATACAATGAGATTTAATACATAACCAATCCAAGCTCCGCCCCTGGAGCCCCACTATGCAGGCCAGACTCGAAGAAATAGAGGACAATCGCGGAACAAGCGTTTGCATTAGCGGATTGAAATGCATTGAAGAGCAACCACATGAGAAACATGTATCTCCAGCACACTCTCCTGCCACTACTTGCAGGGAACTATCCAGAAGATTTGCTGCTGCATATTCATGCACTTACCCAGACTTTACCCCAAAATGATTCCAGGGGTGAGCAGGAAATACTCTGGGTGAAGCCAGATGACAAACTTGTCAGTTTCTGGTCTATTCACACTTAAAGCTCAACCAGGAAATTTCAGGAAATTTTGTGCATGTCTCAAAGAGGCAAAAGTGTCCTTTTAGTCGTGAAGTGAAATCACAGCTATTTGTCTTTTCAAAGACAATGGCACCAGGAAAAGGTGGTAAGTTTTTATGTTTCTCTGATCATGCCTTTGTAAACAGCAGCCAGTATGAACTGGATTCGCATATATCCTGACTGAAACCTGAAGCTGTTCTATCTATAAAGACCTTCCATGACGGATTGAAATTAGAGGCTGGACATAACATGACAAAAGCAGCTAATGCTATAGTGGCTAATGTATGCTAACGGGGTTAAATGAGGAGCTTGGTGAGCACAAGATGTGATTTCAGGTCAAATTTGAAACTTGACCCCCATAAAGTTTTTAATTGGAAAAGTAGAAACACTGAAAGGAGGGTTTTCACAGACACCCGTAAAAGGTAAATGATAAATATGAGCTGCAAATCATGCAAAGCTACTGTAGGTATTCCAGACTGACACAACAAGAAGGAGAAAATGTATATTATAGGTCTCCTTTAAGGTATTGACAAAGACACTTGAGATTAAAATTGAAGTCTTATTTATTACCTGATGCTGGCTCATCCTTGCTCTGCTGTAGGGCCTTGTCTTGTGACTTTGAGATTCTAAAAAATTAAAATCAAAACATTATTGCTCAGAAACACCCACCTACAAATGGTATTATTTACTAAAAACATACATTACATACATAAATAATAATAGGAATGTCTAAGACAGACTGTTTAAACACAATTTAGAGAAAAAAAGCTACAAAGAAATAACAAGTACCTGTAATTTGACAGAAGTGAAATGCCAAAGTAAATGGGATGATAATGGAGAGAACAGTAATGGCTGGAATGAACGGCATCAACCAGGATACCACAGGCACGTCCATGACGTAGTTATCTGCAGAAAATCCAAATGAATCACACCTTTTCAATTCTTTTCCTCTTTGGTTTGTCTTCTTTCCCTAAAGACTGAGAAATGTATCCTCCATGTTGGAGCTGTGAAATGCTTTAATCACTAAATCTTTACTTGTTTGCAAGAGATAATGACTTATTCCTGCAGGGTTATGATATGGACTAGAGGTGTCAATATGCTGGATATTTCACCTAACGATTATGGTGAAAAATGACGTGAAAATGCGAGACCATAGTCTATGTGTGAGATGTACTAAATAATTTGAGGCTTTTTTTATCCGAAATTCACGTAGAGCTATTAAAATGGTATCAGAAAGGAAATATAGTGTCTAAAAAATGCATGATACATCCCTTCAGAGAGCTGCTTCGGGCAAGTTCACGGGCAATCTGCCATTTTTCTTCGACTCTCCTCTGTTTTATGGCATGTGGCAACTAGCGTAAAGGACCTCAACCATGAACTTATGGTACTACTGTAACTTTTTGCACAATATCACTAGCCTATTTCACATTTTCAGAAAGACTGTTACCATCAACGCTGATATATTGTGACAGTCCTAACACACACACAGTATAACAGCTGGTGTACAAAAGACAACTAGGGTGTGCAGGATAAGTATCTAAATGTGTACTTTAGACTTATAAGTTGAATTAGTCTAAGAAGATTCACTGCCTGCTGTAGATAAATGAAAAGTGCAGACCAGAGTGTGTCCTGACTATGATCCTTGTTGTGACATTGCCATCGCTGTAAATATCTCTTGGAACGATGTATCCTTCTTTGACCTCCACGCTCCGTTGGCCAGTTCCACAGTAGTACAAGCCTTCATCAGAATCTGAGACGTTCTGGATCAACAGGTCGTAGGATTTAGAAGAAATGTTGCTCACGAATTGAAAACGGTCAAAGATTGTCAGAAGATCATTAAAGTCATCTTTTTGATTAAAAAAACCACGTTTTGGTTTTAGGACCAGAGGAGGCTGGTTCTCATGAGAGCAGTTCCTGTACCACACAATGTATACTCCAGTTAATATTTTGCAGTCACAGTAGAGAGTGATGTTTCCTCCTGGTTTGACCGTCATTTCTGACACGGATCCACAGACGCAGTCACAGCTCAAAGAAACAATGGCTGAAATTCAAACACAATCAATAATCAATACAATAACAAGCAAACATTTGATTTCTAACACAACAAGTATAACATGGTTAATTCAAAATGAAACAGTAATTGCTCTGAAATCAACTGAAGTGGTCAACAGAAACTTACCTGGCAGAACAACCAAAAAAAGGTGCAGCCTGTCCATGAGTGGCAGTGACAGAGTGCTGAAAGGAAGTGAAAAAGGTCTTACGCACAGGCATCATGACCTGCACAGACTTAAATGTGAAAGGAAGTTAAAGTAGTGATTGGCAAAGCAGTGACACATTTTCTTTGTGGTTTTCATTTAGTATGATGCATGTGATGTTTTGAACTATGTTGGACCCTAAATAAAGCTCTTTATTTATCCCATGCATCATGTTTCTGTAAGGAACAGGCTTGTTTAAATGCTGTAGTAAAGACCAGAAATAAAGGTCAGCTAGGGCAGCTGTGTTACATTTTTTTAGTTATATTCATCATTTATTCATCTCTCTCTGTCTCGTTTCCCAGTCCTTTCTGCTTCTGTCATCATGGGTTATGCCTTCTCTTTGAAGAATTACACCAATAACATATTGCCGCAATGTCTGTCAAACAGTCACCCTGCTGCATCCTTCCTGCTCCGTCAGTGTGCTATTTAAGAACAGATCCCCCCTTCTAATCAGTGTCAGGGTGCGGGGGTGTAACCCTCATCACATCCTTTATACTTTCTCCACCAACAATTAACACTGTCTCAACTCTACAGGTGTGCTCTACTAGATTGTGGTCTATACCATTTGAATTAATGCATCTAATTTGTTTTACCAAACATGTTAGCCCACAGTGAAGCAAGGGGTTTTATTTTTATCTTTTTTCTGCATTAAGCTGAAACACCTTTTTTGCAGGATCCTTCAGAAACCACACAACTTTCCATCCATTTCTTGAGAGTCAACTTCACACCCCCTTTTGTGTGTTTATGTGTGTCTGTGCATGCATGCTGGTGCGTTTTCTGCACTGGCCTCTGCGAAGAAAACAAAGTGAAAAACCACAGGAAACAGTGAACCTCGGCCTCTAGAGCTGTGTGAACATTTTGACATTTCTCCAAGACACGTATTTCATTACCAATACAGTGACCATTTTAAGTGTAATGATGTTGGCATTATTATTTTATTCTGTTACCCAGCTTTCCTAATAGTCACCGAGCTATGTTAACTACTTCTGAAGAGCCAAAACCTCATAGAAATAGTAAGAAGTTCTGAGTAACGACATGTTTCTGTGGGCCGTTAAACCATAGAAAGGAAAAACAGTCCGTCTTATACACTGTTGATGATGTCGCCTCTTTCTGTTGGCAATGTGACAAAAATATCACTTCTGGTAGACCACATGGAGGCTATATTTAATACAACCATTAACTCATTTGGAGAGTACAACACTTAGGATTGGTGGTAAATGATTGACCAGTGAGCAGTAGATAAAAAAAGAACAGATGGAGTGTTAAAACAGCACAAAAATTAAACAGGGTTGTTAAAATAGACAAGGAGCTGAGTATGAGAGACATCAAACAAGCTTAAGAGAATAGATGTGAAACAACCACTAGTCGTAACACAGTTTGGACTTTGGAAATGTTACAGGAATGATTGGTGAAGAGAAAATAGGTACTACTGTTTTGTGCTGTCATATTTTTCTTCATACTCCATATTTGGGTTTCTAAACTGACATATCTGAGAGTGAATTCTTGTACTTCATATGAGTCAGAGGATTTACTCTTATGAAGATTCAAGGAACTATTACCGTAACAAAACTGGATCAACATACAAACCTTGGATCAATCCGTTTTTGATATAGTGTAATATCACTGTTACAGCCTGCAGCAGTTGATTTTGCTGCATATTGACCTTTAGCACATTATTAAGAACATTTATCTATACATTTATTACATTTATCTTTATCGCCAGTCTATCACAGCCAATCGGCAGCAACAGTCTGAGATTAAAAGACAGTTTCTTGCACTATCAAGATCATCAGTTATTATAGTTTCTTTTACTGGCAGAGTTGTCGAAGCACAAGACCCCATGCATAGATGAGACTCTGAGACCACATCCAGGAAGTCTTATGCGTCAACCTTTCTGTTCCGACCCCACAGTGCATGACCATAAACACAAGAAACGTGTGCTCAAAAATGGACTTTCTCTTTCCATAAAATACTCATAATACAGTGGATGTTTTTTTTTAAATAAATATATGCAAAGTATAGATTTATTAATGCATTTTTTCTTTATTATGTTTTATTGTATTATGTCTTACCTTTTCTATGACCTCTGACTCTGAAACAATTCTTTCACTTATCATTGCTCTAGAATTAAATATAAAATTCAACATAACAAATGAGAGGGATATTTAAACATGCCAACCAATGAATGTTTCTCATTTAAAATTTGAGAGGTGCATGTTATTGATAGTCTGTCGATTATGCATCAACTTTAATAATGTGTTCATAGGTTAAACCACACAAGACCTGTATTTTTTCTGAAGTGAAAGATATTGAAAGAGAGAGAGAAAGAGAGCAGCAGCAAACACTCATCTCAGTCTTGAGGGGATTTTATACAGATAAGGTTCACTTCAGTCTGTTTTTTCAGGTCACGCTACAACAGGCACTTCAGACCTGGTTGAAATCAGCAGCCGACTGATTTTTAACAGCAGTTCAGCTGATAGCCAATAAATAATGCTAACATCACACTGTTTTCTTTTTCCTGTTTTTTTTAATGTATTTGATACAATTCAGCGATCTTATAATGTCAGCTGAAAACAAAGTCAAAAGAAATCAAGTCATGATTTGAAAAAATAAATCAAAATGAAAATTAAAGAGTTAGATAGAAAAGGTTTACTTTGCAATAACTGTTTTCTGCAAACAAAAGAAGATGAAAAAGCTGGTCTGAACTCATTTAGTTCACTACAAAGCATCTCCACTTGAGGTCAGTAGAGTTTTATCTGGACCCTGTGTGGCTTACTGATGAGACTCTGAGACTTTCAAGCATTTTCCAGTAAATCTATGAAAATATGTGTAAAAGAAAATAAATCTGTTTGGATTTAAAAAACACAAACGTGTACCTTGTTCAACAAATGTGGCTGCCTATGTTTCACTGGATGTGTTATTGGATGCTACAGATTCAGTGGATGTGGGAGGATAACAATATTTCAAGCACAAACTCACTGAATATGCAAACGAAACTACGTTTCATATTTATTAAACAATAAGTCACATGTACTTGAAGTCCAATCAGAGCTGACTTATTTGATCTTACCAAGGTAGGATGTGGTCACACGTTTGACATCCATTCAGAAATAGACTCAAGCTGTGGTGGCTGCTGGGCTGCTTAATCTCCAGCTGAGGGCTTGTCAGTAGCTACAGCACAGTCTGTGTCAACCTCTTCTCTCTAAATATCTGACCACTGTTTTAAAAACACAGACTATCATTTCTAGAGTGTGAACAATGCAGGACACTTCTCTGCAGCAGAGTGTCTTGATGTGTCATGTCTGTCTATATCTGTTTTATTCTTCTCTCTCTGTTTCATGTCTTGTTATTTTAAGATCACTCACCATTGTCTCTTTTTCAGGTTCCTGTCAGCTCCTCCCCTGTCTTTTCTGTGTGCACCGTGTCCCTGATTGTGTCTTCTCCACCTGTGTCTAATCACACCCCATTACCTCATGTATTTAATCCCTTTTGTGTCACAGTCTTGTTACCAGTTTGTCGGTCTTCATAATTCACATACCATTCTTTCATAGCCAAAGTCATGGTTGTATTTGATCCTTGATTGTGTTATGACCTTGCCTTTTGTCTCACATTTCTGAAACTCTACCTTTTCTGACTGCCTTTTTGCGTACTAAGCTCTGCCTGCAAATAAACACTGCTTTTGGACTTCCGGACCAAATCTGTGTTGTGCCATTGAGTCCTCCCAATTTGGTAGCCTTGATCATGTCAGAACAAACTGGCCAGAATAGACTCAGCTGACCCAGATCTGGTTTGTCAAGCCCATTGGGCACAGGGGAAAAGGCTGGCTCAGCAAGAAAAGCAGTTTGCGACCCTGTGCACTGGTCTGAGAGAACTGTCAGAGGGCCAGGACTCGATGATGTCATCTTTGGGCTCACAGGTTAATTTGCTTTTGAATACGCTTCAGAAGGAAGCTCATATGGTGGCTGCGCCATACGCCGCTCCGAATACTCTTCCAGGTTTGGCTGCTGACCCACTGCTTCAAGCCAGTGTTGCAGCATCATGCCCATAGCTATCCCAAGAGTGTTTTTCCAGCGAGTCAGGTGGTTTAAGACCTTTTTTGACTCAGAGTTAACTCCATTTTGAACTCTGCGCTTCGGCTTTCCCCGCCGACCCTACCTAGGTGGCATTAATTAAAACTGAAACAAGGCAAGCACAAGGTATCTGACTATACCAATGATTTTGAAACTTTTGCCACTGAGAGTAAAAGGAATGGTACGGCTTTGATTGCTGTCTTTTTTCAAGGACTTTCTGGATCGTGGAGAATCAGTTGGTGTTGATTGATCTCCCCGGTGATCTGGACTCGCACATCACCCTGGCAATCAGGACCGACAAAAGAGTGACTGAAGGAGAGCAGGAGAGGGGCCATCACCAGACACACCCATCAGGAATCAGGAATGGAGAAGCAGCTCTGGAGGACCTGCTGAGCTATGTTCGCTCACCGCTGGCAGCATAACTCCACCCATCCCCACCACCAATGCCAGGGAGCCCATGCAACTGGGACAGAATTGGCTTCCTGTCTAGGAATGTCTTTTGGTGGCAGAAGGATGGGAGGGGTTACTACTGTGGCCAATTGGGACATTTAGTGAGTAGCTGTCACAGGTGCCAATTCCAAAAACTAAAAGCGGTTCATTGTGAGTCAAAATGGTGAGTTGGCTCTGACTCTGACACTAACCTCATGAACTCTTCTCTCGCAAGGAATTTCATACTAAAAACATCCCATCTTTAGCACCCCTATGAAGTGAACACCTTCAATGGCAGTCGCCTGGGCAGGATTTGAGCGGGGTTAATCCAACATTCCCTGACTTACACACTGAGTTTATGAGTTTCCATATTTTGGATTCCATGAACCACCAGGTAATTTTAGGGCACTCTTGGCTAAATCTACATAACCCCAACCCCAATTCTGGGCAAGTGCACCAATTACCTCTTGGGGTATTAACTGCTCTAAGTCCTGCTTACCAAGAAAAAAATCATGATATCTGAAATTTTTGAAAACCCTAATCAACCCTTATCTCAAGAATGTGTCTCCTTGCTACCATGACTCAGCTGACTCAAGTCAATGCATCCTCATCATGCCATAGACTCGTTGCCTGATACCACCCCTCCTAGGGGAAGACTCTTTTGTCTATCTGCTCCAGAGCGCAAACCCTGGAAGACATACGTGAAGGAGTCTCTTGATGTAGGCATTATTTGTCCTTCCTCTTACACTCATTTCTACAGCGTTTGAATTGCTGGGGGGGGGGTCTTCACCAAACTAGACCTAAGCAATGTCTTCTGCTTAGTTAGAACCTAGGCGAGGAATGAATGGAAGACTGTGTTTGCCATTTGGACACACTAATGCTCCAGCAGTATTTCAAAATCTGGTCAATGATGTCTTCTGTAATATGCTTAATGTGTTTGTGTTCATCTATCTAGACAACATCCTGATCTTTTCCTCCCATGAAGAGACCCATACTCACCATGTCTGCTCAGTACTACAAAGGTTACTACAAAACCAACTGTTTGTCAAAGTGAAAAAATGTGAGTTTCACAAATCCTTGGTTTCCTCTCTTGGATTTGTGCATGCTGACTGGGAGGTCAGGATGGATCCAAATATGATCTCTGCCATGGCCAACTGGGCCATTCCTTGTTCATGTAAAGTGTCAGGGTTTCTGGTTTTCCCAAATTTGTAAAGAAAATTCATAACTACAGTACCGTGGATTCACTGCTACATGACTTAACCTCTCCCTACAGACACTTTATCTGGAACCCTGAATGTGAGGGAGCATTTCAGGGACTTCAGAAGAGCTTTACCTCCGCCCCTGTTCTCATCCTGCCAGACCCCAGCCAGGAGTTTGTGGTGGGGTTTGACATGTGTGATGTTGGAGTTGGAGCAGTTCTCTCCCAGGTTAAGCCCAAGGATGGTAAACTTCATCCTTGGGCTTAGTTGTCCAAGAAACTTGTCTTCACGCGAAGTTATGACATTGGCAACTACAAGCTGCTGGCTGTTAAGGTGGCTCTGGAGGAATTGAGGCACTGGCTAGAGGGAGCTTACCAGCCTTTTCATGTATGGATAGACCACAAGAATCTTGTGTACAGTATTTGAAATCAGCTAAGAGGATAAATGCGCGGCAAGCAAAATGGGCAATATTTTTCAGCCACATTGACTGAAAAATATGAGTTGGTTTTTGAAACTGACCTGGTTCCAAAAATGTCAAGCATGACCCCATCTCTTGTATGTTTGTGCGTAATATGCCCAAACCCATGACCATTTTGCTCAATTCGGATCATAAGCAGATAGTAAGAGGAAATCAGCCCTGTGCCACAGGTGCGGACAAAGATGGTGGCTGTCCTCATCTCCAAAGCCATCAGTCCAGCTCAAGCTCTTAAGGTCAACGAAGATCCACCCCACATTTTACATCAGCCATATCAAGCCTATGAAATCAAACCCTCTTGTCCGTCTTACCAAACCCCTCCACCCACCTGGTTTATTGACAGTGACCCAGTCTTTATGCCATGTCATGGGGATCTGTCATGTCTGTCATATTTGTCTGTATTTTAATTTTCTCTTCATGTTTCATGTCTTGTGCTTCCTGTTTTATTTTGAGATCACTTACCATTGTCTGTTTGTGGAGCACATGTGGGTGTGTCCATCACTGTGGGTTTCCTGTGAGCCTAACTGAACTTTCTTGCAATTGTATGGTCGATGACTATATACTGGTGGTTGACTTGAGATAAAAACAGGAAATTGACTGGAAACTGCTTTTGTGAAGCAACCAGAAGTTTTGATGGGCAGTTCTATTTTGAAATGTAGCTCAAAATGCCAGGTTGAACTTTAGCAATTCATAAAAACATTACAGAGAGAGAAAGAGCTATCATGAAAACAAAAATCTCTACGTCCTTCCTATGAACAAACTGGTATGACTCACAACTCAAGTGGACCTGATCAGTGATCCACCGGGAAAAGATAGAGGTGTATAGCACATGTTCCCTTTTGAGTGAGTGAGTTGTGTTTAGTCTCTTTGCTAAAGAAACCAGGCGAAGCTAAAAAGATATTTGGTGGCTAGTCCTATGGCTGGGTCCTATATGTACTGTTGATGAAGTTAGGTGCTGTTCTGAGCATTATTTGTGGCTATGAGTGGCTTTTTGGTTGAGGTAGACCACCTTGTATTGCTATCGTGTGGACGTTACTAAAGTTGGTATAACTAGAGAAGCAAGCAGTCGGCAACATTCATCTCTCGGGGGGTTAACTCGTTGTTACAGTATATTTGACCCTAACTTCATTTTACACTGGAATATCCCTTTAAGTACACTATCTTTAAGTACTCTATGTTGCTTCATGCTAATGTTAACCACAGCTGTCAGATGTTGGCTAGCTAAAGCTATGAACTAAACAGGCAGAGTCACTTAAAACTAGCATACGACAAGTATTGATTTTGATACACACAAGCATGATAAATTAGAGTGAGAAAAAACTAAAACATCTGCTATAGTTGGCATTTGGTGTCATTGAAAACATGGCACAAAAATGATAATGAGGATACAAAGAACACAAACACACACAAGAATGTACTCTTTTTTCTTATTTCTATAAAAAAGGCAAGATAAAAGTATTTTTCCTTGCTTTGATGACAGATAAAACATTCATACTTTCTACCTTAATAAGCATTTACATTCTACAGGAGGGGACTACAATGCTAATAACGGCTTACTGCAAATAATGAATTAAAAAGTACATGCTGTCACCATCCAGTTCACTTTACATTTTTGTATTAAATCCTACAGCTCTTTACATCCTTGAGGTGTTGATGTTAGAGTAGGTGCTGAAATCAGATTCTGTCTGGATTTTCTTCTTCTTTGGTCTCTGCGAGGTGTTGCGGATTTCCAGAGCAGCGTAGCACACATCTTCATCCTGATTTTCAAAAAGTGTCATTTAGAAACATGAACATGTTGAGATGGGCCGTGTGATTTATTTTGTGTCAATACAGCTAAAAGTAAACTTAAGATACTAGCAGTGATGTAAAGTCTTTGTGTTTATCACCTGGTCCCGTCTTGGATGGTGTCTGGTGTCTGGGATCTTTTCATCAACTTGTTTAGCTGCAGAAGTGAATACATCATTAAGCCTTCAGCTCAAGTCACACAGAAGGGGTCAAATAAATCAATTAAGTAAAGATAAGAAAACAAGTGTGTGGATTAAAGTAATAAACAGCAGTTACCTTTTTTCAGACAGCAGTGATAACCCAGTAGAAATGAGAGGAGAGAGGAGAAAACGGCAAAAGCTGGACAGAGGGAAAACAGCAGAGTCTGGCACACACCGTTGTTCACCCAGGATTCATGGTGATGAGACGCTGGGACCCTGGAGTCTGGATCAAACACAAAATTGTTTCACTTATCACCCCCACATAAAGACCAATTTTTGACTTGTGGCCTGGCCCCATATTATTGCCAGGTTTACATCCTTTTCAAGTGAATGAGGGCCCCTACCAACTGCCGGCCAGTGCTGTGTCATCCTGGCAGGATGTCATCCTGGCAGCACTCAATTCTGTCCACATATATGATGAGTTTGATGGACAGGAAAAGTACCATTTTTTTCTGGAGTTGACTGATGACTAATGTCACAGATATCACAGTACACAACCAACTTTCCTCCCAGAGCAAGATAGCAAAAAGCAAGTTTTCCAGATTTAAAAAAATATATAAAAACCTTTCAATCAAGCGTCATAGGACAGCCTGTTTGTGTGAATGTAACATTAACATGCACAACTGCCCTTTTCTGTATCAAGACTTCATAATGATATAAAGGCCTGTCTTTAATACACGTGTGCCCAGTACCTTTACAGTGAAAGCAAACAAAGGCTCTGGTTTGTATTGGGGTATTTATGGTATTCATGTGTATATTAGTTGTATTCCCAGTAAGCAAGAAATCTGTATGTTTCTTAAAATTACTCTGGGGACCCAAGAACCATAGTGGAAATGGTCTGCATTACCGCATCTGCTTTCAGGGGGAAAATGCATGTTGCAAAATGCTATAGGAACTGGTATTGTGAAGTGGAATAGAACTAATATACAGTCAAATGTCTGAAAATTACAAACTTGGCTCACAAATGACCAATGCAAGCACAATAGAAACCTCTTCAGTGTTTTCTTTATGCCAATTTTTTCTCCCAAAACTTCTACACAATTAAAAAAGCAGAATTTGTTCATGATCACTTGTGACTGGGGTCCAAGAGGCCTCTGACTTGGCAGGCATTATCCAGAACAGCTGTTGTTTATTGCTATTTTGTTCCTGATAAGCAGAGATGCTCTCATTTTCAGCTAATCATGATGAAAATTTAAACAGTGCAAAGTAGTATTGGAGGTTGATCTACTTTGTCCTCTGAAATGTCTACATTATTATGGGACCACATTTTGTTATTTGGTGTCCGAAAAGTTATTCTGCTATTTTGCTATATTCTGCTAGGGTAAGAAAAAAAAACCTTATTGACTTACTGAATGTGATCCTTGTGGCATTTCCATAATTGTAGATGAGTCCATTAGTAATTTTATCTCCATTTTGTACTGTCCTCTCTTCAGTCCCACAGTAGTAGAGGCCCTCATCAGACTCTGTGATGTTCTGAATCAGCAGGTCATAGGAGTCAGTGGACTGATTCTTCACCAAGTAGAAATGAGGGAGAGGATTCAAGAATTCTGTAGGGACCTGAGGATAAGAGCTTGAATCATATCTTGCCTTCAACATAAGAGAAGGCTGGTTCTCATGAGAACAGTTCCTGTACCAGACTATGTAAACTCCAGTCGACATCTTGCAGTCGCAGAAGAGAGTAATGTTGTTTCCTGTTTTGACTGTCAGCTCCAACAGAGAAATCCCCTCATGGATGTACATCATGGCTCCTGTAAAATGAAACAGAAGCAAGCAGGTAAAGTGTGAAGAATAAGGAATTTCAAAAGACAGAAGATTATGATAAATCCATCAAATAATTACCCAAGATAACAGCAACAAAAGATCGCAGTCTGTCCATGTGTGATGGCAGCCAAGGAAACACTGAGACAGCAACTAACTTGTATGACTTGCGCAAACGTTTCCCTTCTGAGGAAGGTAACTTCGATTTTGATTGTGCAATGGAAACTTTTCTTTTGTAGTTGTTTTGTCCCTTCTACAATTGCTTTTGTGGCAGTGAAACCTTGATTTGTGGTTATATCAAGGCCAACACACCCTATAAATTCACATGTAAACAAAGATCCTGCACATATTACTGTAAATGCCCATTGTGTTTTATAGACTTTTAAATTTAATCACATTTATCACTTTTACATTGACAGAAATATGCAGATTTGACTGCATTATTTTCAGCATTGGACCGTCTTGTGTTGCAAATTGTGTTGAATGTTTGCTGAAGCCTTTTGTGACCCAATTGATTTAGAGACCTAATATGCTGACATCAGCAGAATTTTTTTTTAAATACATTAACTGTAGTAAAAAAAAGCACAACTGGCAACTCATAGATTGTTACCAGAACACTGGACTATTGTGTAAAAGTCCAGTTTCCTGTCAGTAAATTTAGTCCCAAAAGGGCTCTTATCAGCCAATTAACCCTGAACAACTAGATAGGATTACTGAGCCTCTCTTCTCTCAATCTAGTTCAGTACACATGACCACAATCATGGGGAAGACTGTTGACTGACAGTTGTCCAAAAGATCACAAGACACAGAAGGTCACTGCTGAAAAAGTTGGTTGTTCTCAAGTGAAAAGCGGGGAACTCAAAGTCCTCGAGTCTGGAGAGAGACTAGAGAGGCACAGATTTCAAGGTTCTCACAGTCCAGCATTAAGATTCCACAGTCTGTGAGAAATAGGGCTGCTATGTCATCTTCTGGTGTTGGTAGGCTGTGTTTTATGAAGTCCAGTGTCAAAACAGTTGTCTACCAGGAGACTTTAGAGCACTTCATGCTTCCATCAGCAGAGACACTTGATTGAGATACAGATTATTGTCTTCTCTCCGATGGTCCTGCCAACCCTTGTATCCCTCAGTGCAACACCCAGTGCATTCTCCTGGACTGGCCATTCATCTCCCAGTGCCGGCTCCCAGGCAGGTTTTCTAGTCTCCATTGTTGGCTCCCAGGTGGGCCACCCAGATCTCAGTGCCGCCTCCAATACATGCCACCCTGGTCCCTGTGCCTGCCACCCAGCGTACACCTGCTTCTGCCTGCTGACACTGTTGCAACATTGTTCCTATTACTTCACTATGAATTAAAATGTTCAATTTAGCGCTATTTTGCCTCTTAGTGTGAGAAAAGACCCTTACTTCATTGTAGGCTGCTCACTGAGTCAAGATCCTAGTTTGTGTTTCCGCACACTCACTTTACATTGTACCTGATGATAATAGGTGATAATAGCATCAATACTAGAGCCTGTGTCAGTTTTTATTTCATATAAAGCCCAAGCAACTACAGTGAACTAACTTCAAAATCAAGCTGTAAATTGAAATTGTGCTTATGCTAATGGTCAAAACTCAACCACTGATTAATTTGATGCATAATTTAAAATCTGGCTGTATTTCAACTATGTAAACATCCTATGCAGGTGATTTTTAGCACTTAATATCATATGGACAGGGGAGGCAAAACACCAAATGAGGGAAATACAGTAAGACTGCAGAAATCGCAATACTCAAGCACACTGTTTGAATCAAAAGTCCTGAAACTTCCCTGATGTTGATCTCTGTAGCTCATGTGGTCAGCATAGATTGTCTAGTCTCTTTGATGATACTATCCTTTACAAGCCTGTGTAGCTTCTGTAGAGGAAAACTCTTTGTAAATCAGCTGTGCTGTGGAAGAAAAAATAGATAAATCATCACTGAATTAGTAAACAATCATGACTCCTATCAGTGGTGCTAATCTTAGCATGGACTGTATTTCTTGCAATAAATCAGTTGTCACAGACTTTATTGATGTCATCATGTTGTGAACCGTACCATATTATGACTTACCTGGTAGTCTCCACCCTTAGTCTTTGATTAATTGTTTACTGTTTTTCACACTTAGAGGTTTGATAGTTACCCATTACTGTGGCTGTAGGCCTTTTTAACTACCGAGCTCTATAATTTTGAAATACTGTAAAAAAGAACATATTCTTAGTAACTGCTTACAGAGCAGGAGCTTTGTTTGTTTTATTTGGTTTTATGTGTTTGGGTGTTTTATATTTGATGTCTGTCTTCTCAAAATGAGCTGTGACGTGTTCATAATGAAGCCTGTGCTCTGAGCAGCAACTTGTTGAGGTCTGTAGCTGTATGAGGGTCTGTTTGTCACTGTGGGTTTCCTGTGAGCCGTTGCGAATCTTAGGTGCTATAACTTGCGATGGAGGTTGGTTTCATTGTACACTCTGTGTTTACTGGTAACCTCTCATATAAGTTTGGTATTAACATTTAATCAGTTGCTGTCTTTAGCAGCAACCTTCTGTATAATATTTCCCTTTATTAAGATCTTACTTTCTCAAAAGTCACTTCCAACAGATTCACACATTGTATCGAGCTATACTGGAGAAGCAAGAGGATTGATAGTGAACTGGAGATAAAAACAGGAAATTGCCTGATTATAGTCTTGATACAGACCAGCAGCCAACAAAACCATTATGAAATGTTACAGACTAAGATTAAACAATCATTTTAATGAATCTGAAGTTGAGGGGTAATTAGCCACCACAGACAAGGTCTTGCCTAAGGTTTTTATTGATTTTTTGCAGTAGACAATTATGTGGCACAGGGAAACAAGATACAGAAGCATATTTTTGTTAAGAAAGTTGTACACCATGTACGTAACTCTGATAAAAAAACAAATACATGAAAAACAAGACAGTATAAAAACATTGTCATTTGCAGGAGTAGGCCATACCTTGATTGAACTCAATTTAAACAACACTGATTTAAAAGACAAAACAACTAACATAGAAAATTTGGACATGACTGTAAATGATGGCAAAGACAAATGGATGGAAATATCAGAATAGTTTGTATGTATCAGTGTTGCCAGATGTAGCTAAGGTGGATAATTGGTGTCTTATTTGGATGACAATTTGCCACATGTATGATAAAGGACAGCAGAGAAAGCTGTTCGAAAATCGGTTTAAAATTAAGCAATTTATGGTTCTTTAAATGCTACATTAACAGTAGACTGTAATGTTATGAGTGGGCGAGCTTACCATAGCAAGATGGCCGCCATGCGCAGACGCCGGTCTCCATTGGCTAACAGCGTGCGTAAGCCATCTATCGTTTATATACGTATATCACGCTCATTCAGTACCAGACCAACACACCCTAAGCTCCATCTGCCAATCAAATCATCAGCTAATGGCGCCATGCGCACACCTGCGGCCCTTCACGTCGGCCCGCAGTACGAACGCACTTCACATACAGAGCTAATGCTACTAGCTTAGCTCAGAAAACGCGCGAGCGGCATGTGTGTCGCGGAGCAGTTAGCAAACAATGAAGACTTTACTGAGTTAGGGAGTTCATTCAGTTAACGTTAAGTGTAGGTTACTAGGAGTTTGGAGAATTTAGCAAGAAAATGTAAAACAGCCAAGCAGCATGGCCCACGGGTGGACTAAACACCGAGTACAGCTGTACTGCCCAGTGGAGAGTTGGAGCCCATTTTCAACAGACGGTTTAAACAATCTCAGACATGTTATTGGGAACGACTTTGTACCGCTGCTGCAACGCCCTCGTGATGTCTGACATTGGAGTTTAGAAGAACCATGTCAACTTTTAGGTGAGTTTGAGTGGTATTTTCTCAAGTCCACGTTTATGTCCCAATTTTAAAACTATGTGAAGACTCATTGTGAGCTTTATTTACTCTTTCTACGTGGTTGCTTCTAACCTAAATGCTCCGAATGACTAAAATTCGTTGCAACAAAACCCTGATGCTACTTGCTTTTATTTTGAAGGCAATAACGGAAAGAGGGGTAGGCAGAAATTGGCAGGTGTTGACTCTATAGTGTGAAAATGATAGTCCTTCTCTGCATCAATATGGTGTCAAGTGTGGTATCAAGGACCTCACTTGGAATTTTTCTTGTGTACGGTAGTTTTAAGTAAAATACTATCATTTTAAATCTGCAAGATAACTCTGCATCTGCCATCTGGCAACACTGAGTAATATGAAATACATTTTTTTGCTCTTTTGTCTGAGGCATGTCACATCTGAGAAGTTTTGATTGCAGAATAAGTGCTGAAGTCAGAGCTCTGCGGTTGTGTCCTCTTGGATCTCTGTGATGTCTTTTTGATTTTCACAGTAGCATAACACAACTCTTCATCCTGAGAACACAAATCAGTTATTTGGAAACATGTTCATGTACCCATCTGTTGCTATAATTTACTTTATTTCAATGATAAACTTACCTGGTTTGATCCAGAATGATCTTTTGTGCTCAGTCTTTGCTGATCAACTGGATTTCCTTCAGCTTCAAAAACAAATCATCAATAAAACATATGACACTTAGTGAATGGAAGACATTTTTGTTAATAATAATTAATGAAGCTTAAATGAGGTATGTCATAGTTACCTTTTTTCCTACAGAGACAGTAAACCACAAGTGAGGAGATGAGAGAGGACACAACAGCAACAGCTGAACATAGAGAGAGGAGCAAACTTAGGCTCACACCACGGTCCTGAAGAGGAGTCCTACTGGAGTCTGCCTCACAAAAGAGGGTGAGTTGATTAGATTCATTTCACTCTGAACACACAAAAATGTCAAAATTGTGACATGAGTGTAGCCTTTTTTTGAATATTTATCTGGATTATTACAGAACTGATTCCAGCCAAATATACAATGTGTGATCTTTGTCCTTATTCTGCAGAAAAACTCATTCTAGTGAAGTGAGCTCTTTAAACCTTTACAAAGTCTCAGATATTTTGGATCAGGTTTACTCATACTCAGTTTTTTCCGTTGGTTGTTGGTGCTACAATGGATTATAGTTAATCTTGATATGAACAGATTGTCCCTCAGGGAGTTGAAGTAAGCAGTATTTGCACCATACAATTATGAGGACTGTTTAGTTTTTTTTTATTATTATTGCCACCTGAGCTATGACCAAACTTTCACACAGAGAAGTTAAGGACTGGTAAGTGTTTCATTGGTAAACTTTGTGGTATTACACAAACTCCTTGAATTTACACCCTGTTTATTGTATTTTCTGTGCTGTAGGAGCAACTAATACACGGATAGACACACATGGGCTTAAATCAAGGTGTTGATAGACATTGTTAAAGCTTATTTTAGAAAAATTTAGGAGATAATTGCCAAATTGTTAATAACAAAAGGACTTGTGTTGGTAGTTGTAACTTTGACATACGTACCTAAACAGTTACAAATAAACTGATGCAGCTTTTTGTATTCTAGACCTTTGCACTTAAAATTTCTATAATCACCTTACATATTTATGTTTTACTAAGGTTTATTGGGATACAGAGTGAGATACAGAGTGAGCTCTTGGGCATTAAAATAGGTAATAACAGTCCTGACTCAGAGAAGAGTAAAAATGTTCTAAATTTCTGTTCATACTTTGGCTGCTGCTAAAAGATGAGCCAATCCAGAGTATAAATGTATGACTTACATCAAACTGTGATGGAACTAAATTGAATTCCTAACGAATTAACACATTTAATAAGAAGTAACTTTGTTAAAACTATAGTCACACTTAAACACTGCATACTTACTGAATATGATCCTTGTGACATTGCCATAGCTGTAAACATCTCTGTGAACAAGAAAGTCTTTACCCTCTGTTTTGTTCACCACTATTTTGTCAACTACTGTAGTTTCAGTTCCACAGTAGTAGAAACCTTCATGTGACACAGTGATGTTCTGGATTAGCAGGTCATAGGATTCAGAGGACTTGTTCCTCACAAAGTGGAAATTAAGAGGGAGAGGTTTCATCCATTGATTAGGATACCGCATTTTTAGGACAAGAGGAGGCTGGGTCTTATGAGAGCAGTTCCTGAACCAGACTATGTAAACTCCCAGTGATGGTTTGCAGTCACAGTAGAGAGTGATGTTTTCTCCTGGTTTGGCTGTCACCTCTACCACTGATCCACAGACTGAGTTGTGACCCAAGAAAACACCTGCTTGAATGGAAACACAAATATACAAACAATTTAAGATGTGCTGTTACATGATTATGTCATTGCATTATGAGTTAAATATGGAAAGATTCCTGATATAAAACGTAATATTCTGAAAACTAGAAAGTGTCATTTCTTATTCTGTGAAAACTTCAAGTGAAACAAAAGTTAAATCGTCTGAAGTGCTCATAAAAATAATTACCTGCGAGAACAAGCAGGAACACGTGCAGCCCCTCCATCAGTTACAATGTCGGAGATGTTATAGACAGTATAACAAGTCTCACAGCTACCACACTATCAGGTCTTTTCTCTGATTGGCCAGTCAAGTGGAAAATTTTCTTTTTTTTTTTTTTCCGTTGATGTAATACACTCTCTCATTCCTGGCTTTGATGCTCCTCCCTCAGCAACAATCAAAAGAGGCGTCATCATATATAGTTATGCATGCAAATGTCTAAATCACGTGTGCATGTGAGAAACTACATATTAATAAAAGGTTGGGTGGCACGTGAGTGTAACATTTTACCAACACTTGTGGTTTGATGTCTCTGTAACAACATTTGCTACTTGTAAAAAATGAAACAAAGGTTGCCGCTGTCTGTGAGACTGAGGACACTAGCCTCTATTTTGTACAGATTTCTGACCTCTGTGATCAACAGTTTGTCAGTCACATTAAAATTACATTCACAGCATCTGATCTCTCTAGATTTCCCTCCATAAAAGCAAAATGTTTAGCGTTTTTAGAAAATTTGCAACAGAAGTTCAACTGTGAAGAACTGATTTTGATTGTGCCCGGCAACATGAAATTTAGGTTTGTTTTCAGAACACAGTTTTCCAACAATATTTAAAACTTCAGAGAATTTCTGCTGATGAGTTGTTAAGGTTGTTTCAGATTTAATTGTCTTATCTGTCCAACAGAACTAATACTCTGATACAGTGGCTTCTTCTGTGATTGTGTAACCATATGCATGTATAATCAGTGTTTAATGATCTTATATCGGGCTGCTGCAGATGCTATGATTATAACAATATTCACCGCATTCAGGTTCCTGTTACTCTTACTATTAGATTTGTTGGGTTTGAATGACAACTCTGCTTCTGATGAAGGTAGCTGTACTTGTGTCTCGTCTGTTCTGTGGTGAGAGCATCCATTGTTTTTTTTTTTTTGCAAGATAACATCATGTTTTGTCTTTGTTTCTAGGTCAGACAGACATACTGAAACTTTACTGACCACAGTGACAAGACCACCTATACAGCTCAACTCAATTCCCCCCGGCTTGAGTCAAGTAAGTGCATGAAGTGATAATCTTTGTAGATGATTATTGATTTTATTTCTGCTTTCATGAGAAGTCTTGAAAAGACTACCCATTGTACCAAGAGTTTGAATCAGCTTTTGTGTCTTGAATGTTTTTGGTTTGCCGCCAGTTTTGATTTATGCTGTTAATGACACAACAGAAAGTAGGTCTGTGGAACTGTGTGGTCAGATATATATAGCATGAACAAATCTCGTATTACAAAGAAAACCCTTGTGTAGTAGTTGCTGTTTTTCATTAATGCCAGCCCAATAAGGTTATAAAATATAATAACGCATCAGTCAATAATATTATATTTCCCCACATGTTGATACATAGAGGAAAAACTCTAAATGTGGTGAAGAGAACAAGGATAACGTGCACTAAATGGCAGTTGGTTTGGGTGGACTCAGGTCTGACACAGCAGCAACTTGGCCAGGATGTATGAGAGCTTGGCCTGCTAACTGAGCTACATTGTACCTGGTGTGCAAGCCTGTGACTATTAGGTGCCATTATTACATAGTTTATCAAACGGTATGAGTGGTATGGCCTTTAAAATCTAGAAATAGCTAGATATGAATATAAATATTCAGCAAACCACTGGACGCTGATTAACATGGACGCTCTTCAATCTTCCTGTATCTGGCCGGTCTCCAGTAGATTGGGTGAATCCAAAATGGTGAAATCAAGGGGGGGTGCTCTGAGACAGGCTGTTACCTGTGAAACGGGGGTGCTCTGGAAACACTCCCATTAGCACTTGGTACATTCCTCCTGATGAAATTAACCATAGACTGTAAATTGAAGCAGAAAAAAATGGAGTCGACCAATCAGAATTTTGGCCGACTCAGCACATATCAACCAATCAGTTGACCAGTCGATGAGGACTTTACAGCCCTACTGGCATCTACAAGAAATCCAAGGAAAAGTATTCCTACTGAAACAAATCTGCAACTAATGAGTCTTTCCAAAGTTATATCCATACAAAAATGTCCTTAGTAACTAAATACTCTTATGAAACGCAAAACCACCAGAATTTACTTACTTTCCTCTCCTGTTTGTGCTGACTTAGGCAATAGCTGCGTATATCAACATATGACTCTAGATGAGAATATGTATTTTACTGGTCAGGAAGTCAGTATGGGTTACATACAATGTAATACGGCCTAAAATAATCTGATTTTAAGGATTTTGCAAAAATATATATATATATTTTTATAATGTTACTAATTTAGTAGCAATTTGGTCGTAAAACTAGCTAATAAAGGCACAATCGTCTGACTCAACTGGCGAAAAGTGAATATCATCTGTTTCCTTTGCTGTAAATTGCTTTTCATTGCCTTAACTCTACATCCACTGCCCTTTTATTGTATAAAACAGAGTCTACTCTAATCTGGTGATCTACATCAGTGGCTTTGATTCAGACACATCCCCTGACCAAACACTGAGTCCTCACAAAACTGGGACACACAGATGACACTATTGGCGACACTCCAAAGATGAATTCCTTTAATGAAGCTGTGTGTTAACATAATAGACAGCTGGGTATATGCATTCACAAAGTCAGTGTGTTTCAGTTCAGCTATACAGTCATACCAGAAGAACTTCATCAACATTTTTAATGGATCTGAAAACCATAGCTGCCACGTCCGCAGCAGTTAACCTGACAACTCATTTACAGCACAGTTCATTGTGCCTAAACTTTTTTTTTCTGTACTAAAACCACCAAAAAGAAGATATGGATTTGTATTTATCAAAATGGTTGCTAGAATTGATCGTTTTATTGACTAACTTGAGATTTACTAAATATTATGCAGACTACGTTTGCAGTAGGATCACAAATTGGCAGTTTTTAGCCTCTACCTCTGCCCACCAGTCCCTCTGGAGTAGGGGGATGTATTTAAAGACTTTAAACATTTGAGAGAATCCATCACCTTCAAAGAAAAACAATGACAGCAGTAGAAAAACATGAAGCAGGAGTAGTTGCACCACAATCAGTCTGAAAAGACAAATATCGATGGCCTACATTTTCTCTTCAGAGCACCTCAGGTCAGTAGACCCTTCTACCAATGGCAGCACAAATGAATACGTCAGACAAGTGTTTCCTCATGTTCAAGTGTAAATGATGTTCAACATTTTGGTGTACAAAAATGGTATCATCAGCTGTGACACAACTATTTTATGACAAATGTCCACAAACTTGACCTTTGACCGCCAACGTCCAGTCAGTTTATCCTTAAATCAAAGGTAACATTTGGGCCTAACTTGGAAAAACAAACTCTCCAGCTGTCCCTGAAATACAAGATTTTAAGAGTATAAGAATGAGACGGACATACTTATAGTAAATGGGCAATTGCAAAACATGCCCTCGGCCTCAACTGTTGTAGACGCAGAGGAAAAATGTGGCTGTTCCAGGGAGACAAATGGTGAACAACAGAGTGATGCCAGCAGACCTATTAGATTACACTGATTACATGAACCAAAACAGGCAGAAAGACTATCACAATTAAAATGCAAGGTACACTTGAAGTAGGCTTTTGAAAACAGCTTATTTCTGAGCGTTAGTGTGTGGCTGTATTTGTTCTGGCTTTCTGCAAAGTGCATGTGCATTTATGTTCACAATAGCGTGGCTATGAGTGTTGGTGCAGATGTTATCTGGAGGATTTTCAGCTTTGCTGTTTTCAGCCTCACTGCAGCATTGAGGGAGGGGCAAAGGGCCTGCAGAAAACCACAACTGTTTCCATCCACTTCTGAAACGTCAACTGCTTGGTCACCCACTGCAGCCCCGCGTTTGTATGTGCGAAAGTGTGAACGCAAGTGTGTGCGTGGATTTCTGTGTATTTTGCATTTGCTTATGCAACAACAACTGCACAGGAAGCTGTACACAGGCCTACAGGGCGGAGTGAACATTCAGACATTTGTTTGGCACTTGCAAATTATTGCTGACAGAATAACTTGTTGGTGTTTTGAAACAGGCCTTATAATTAAACCCCTTTTTTAGGAAACTTTCTTTCACTGATGGGGTTTCTTGTAATTGCATTCATTTCTTGAGAGAGACTTGGACAAATTGGCAGAACAAATATGGATGAACATGTCGACAAAGACACCACTAAAGAAAAACGAATACTAAAAGAACATCACTTTCTTATTTAAGTATTCATTAAAAAGTTGAAGATAAATCAAGCCCTTGCCTGTTTCAATAATTAGAAATATATCTAGTGCGTTTGTATTTAAAAGCATGAAAGGTCACTTGTGTCTGTAATTCCATTTCTTTGTAATTCACACAAAGACAATGGAGCCATCCACATGAGAGCTCGTTCTAGTGCCAATCTGCATAAAGCCTTTATACAGACGCAGGTGTTCTGACACTGGTAGGGAGGGTACACATAAGGATAGACATTAAGAAAGGAGTCGAGGGATAGTATAACAAATGAGGAAGTAACAGAAGTGGATATGTCTGAATTTTATGATAAAGGTCAGCAACACTTGGAAACCTCAAAGAAAAAACACGATTTAATTTGTGTGTAAATGTGAAAATTAAAAAACTACCTTTCAGACACTAAGTAGCAGAGGCTCTTGAAGTCCTCCTCCTTCTTTTCTTTTTTCAGCCCTTTAGTATTTGCCTTTGTGTAAGTGTGTATTTATGGATAAGAGCAGCATTTCTGTCTTGGTGCATTGTTCACTTTTTTTATGAAATGTGTGGAGTATGTGTGCATGTGGGTGCGTCACATGTGCGGTTGTTTGAACACCTTGCCGGCCCGTAACATACCACAGTGGATGTTTATATCCCAATGACATGCACAAGGTCAGCTCTATTCTGCTAAAGCTGCTGCTAATGGGACTTCAACCACCAGCTTTCAGGCTTACACTTCCTCTCAGTGCCACTAGATGGCGATGTGGCTGTTTGTGAAGTCATATAGCACAGGCTGCCACTTAAGTACATCTGTCATACAGGCTCATGCTGCTCATCCCATTTAGTGAGGCAGTGTTATGTTCCTGCTTTTGTTGCAGATTGATTGTTTGAGTGGTGATAATTTAGTGAAAATGTCAGTAT